TATACAAAACTCTCCTCAAATATTTAATAAAAAATATGTTTTAATAACACCAACCATTTATAATAGATATTATCTAATTATAGTAATGCCATGGTACCTAAGATTTTTTTTAAGAAACAACACTACTGGGCCGAGAAATTCATTTAGTATAAACTTCACTCACATTATACTTACTCTCAACAAAATGTTTCCTTCAAAATAATGCAAGTTTATGAGTTAATCTCTTAAAGAGCGGCGGAAGCAGTGAAGTGCAGCGGAGCCGTTAAAAATTCCCGACAAAGGCGTCCAGCGAACTGACGTGTGAAGAACTCACTCAAATACTACCGGCAGCATTTGAAAGTAACACATTGATATATATCACTAGATTCCAAATTAAATGTCCCTACATTTAACAAGAAACTAAAACTTAAGTGTTGTCTATAGTTTACACGGTAATACACATTTCAATAAAACGCTTTAACGGTTTAAAACGCGATATATATGATATGTCTCCCCGTGACCACGGCTGCTGCAAAGCATCCGAAATTCAACTATAGAATATTTTGTAAATAACGTTAATTGAAAAATTTCGCGTTGTAAACCGTGTGTTTAATTTTAAAAATGTAATAATGAAAAATAGACACGCTATAAAAGTTAAAAGAAGTAGCGCAAAGTATTAATTATTCGGGCGAGACATTTTAGAATTACTTTCATTTCACTCAGGCACCACTAGCAGATGATGGGGGGGGGGAGGAGACGAGGAGTTAGGGACTATAAAGCAGTGTCACTTATAGTGATAGCGTTAAACATGTCGTTAAATAGTTTTACAGTCAAGATAGCAACCGCGAGTAGGTACTTATTCCAGAGAAAAACCAACTTACACTATTCTCAATACTGAACTGAAACCTTATGTCAATTAATCTATACTAATATTATAAAGAGGAAAGATTTGAATTTTTGTATGTAACGGGTAAACTCAAAAACTACTGGACCGATTTTAATAATTCTTTTTTCATTAGAAAGCTACACTATCACTATAACATAGGCTACATTTAGTACTCAATTACTATAGGTACCTATAGAAATTCTTACTAAAACCAACGAACGGCGTAAAAAAATTTGCCATAAAATGTCTTTCTTCGCATACGCTGCGAAAAGTATTAGTGGTAGGACAAAAAAACGTTGGACAATATTATAGAATATATCAATATCTACAAAAAACATGTCAAACATGTGAGCATATGTTTAACTATTGTAGTTACGTCGCTATTACTACTTTTTTACATTTAACAAATTCATAGAAATGCCGATCAAAATCAGACCGTGTACATACCATTTATGAATTTTTATCCAAATAAATATTTTTATATATATATTTTTAATATTCAAGACTGTCTCAATAGCTGATGATTACTTTTTACTTATTGAAATCGGACGTTCAAAAGATATCACAAAATTAAAATATATGCCGGCGGCGGCCGCCACGTCGCGCATCGAGTAACTAATTCGACTATAGAGGGGCAGTGGGCGCGAACGACATTGAATATTTCGATTTTTTTTAACCATTTTTATGCTTTAAAAAGTTCTTTTCAAAGCTACTTAGTTTTAGTATTAGGAATCACACTCTGCATAATATTTGTCAGGTCTTTTCTGAACTATCGCTTTGAACTTGAATATTTTACTTTGTGTTCTTATTAGTTTATTCTTCATTTCTCTGATTTAAAATAAACATCCTTCATAGCAATATGCCTAGAAGAAGAAGGTCGCAACTATCTAAGAATAGTTCCCAAACGAGATTAGCAAAAGTTCGTCATATTGGAGAGTCTTCTTCCTAAAATGATCGTCTGGAAAGTATTAAATTGTACGCGTCCCAATCGCGAGCCAGAGAATCTATCGTCGATTGTTCAGTTTCGTCTTGCAGAACAAAATGCAGGATTGTCGCAGCGACTTGAAGGAAATAGAATTAGGAATTCGCGAACCCGTGCACGGGACTCTAACACTGAACGCTCGCAGGTTGTTAACAATTAAGATGCGCAATACATTTTTATTCTAATTTAGTGATTCATGGTCGTTTTAATTAGCATGCTTATAATTTAAATATCTGTACCTATTTATGTCTACCCGTGCGAAGCCGGGACAGGGCCTTTAGTCTAAATATAACGTGTTTAACTAATATATATCGCGTTTTAAACTGTTATAGTGTTTTATTGAAAAATAAAGCTTATTATTGGAAATCTCATGTAATCATTTCGGTAAATAAATAACAAAAATTCACAAAAATAGGTATAACCGTGAAAAAGATATTAGCATGCATTAAACATACTTGTAGATAATAGGAAAGGCCAAAAGTAGAAATGTCTGTTAAACCTACACAATATTTATTCACTTGTTATTCATAATTTATTATTATAGCCCAATTGCAAAGTGCGAGACGTTACGGTCTTGCTGTAATGATTCCACTCCGAAAACACACAATTCCTTCTGATGACGGAATTAATATGGTTAAAAAAATTGAATATGTACCTCCCATAAAGATTGTGAGTTATTTTAATCATGACATCTGATACAACTGTTCTTTGTAAGTAACTACTTTTGAATTCTTATAGGATCAGTGGCGTAGCTATCGTAGGGCCAAGTGGTGCAATGCACCAGGGCCCCGGAACTTGGGGGCCCTCTAACCTCATCTTTAAATAGATATAAGCGTAAAAGAAAATGATTCTTTTAACATATTTGAATAAACTGGTTTTGTAACTATTTATACTTTTGGAGGTGCATTTAATTTAAGCTAGACTGAAAGAGGGGATGAAGGCCCTAGGATTAGGTAGACCGGGGCCCTTGTCAACCTAGCTACGCTACTGTATAAGATGCCTAGATCGTATGAGAAAACAAAGGTTGAAATCTAAGCAACTAATTTTCATAGACAATAGATACACTACTTTTATTTTACGAATATGAATCTTAATGGTGTATGATATTTGGCCCCAGAACGTTGGCTATTGTCCTTCTTAATGAAAAAAGATATTTAGTTTCAATATTAGTAACAGAAGGCACATTAAACGTAAGTGTCAAAGTTTTAATAAAGCCAAGAATTATGTTTTTATTGTTATTGCTGTATAAAATAAAAAATAAAAGGGAATGAAATCTCTTTCCTCTAGGTACGCGCAGTCTGTTATACTTACGTTTTTATTTAAGAACAGGAAGCACTACACCCATACTAACATTATAAAGCTGAAGGGTTTGTTTGTTTGCGCGCGGTAATCTCGGGAACTACTGGTTTGTATTGAAAAAAATCTTGTACTATCTAGACCATTTATCGAGAAAGGCTATAGTTTATTTTATCTAGAATAATAAATTCTATAAGTGAAAACTTCCTTAAGCTTCACTGTTCTATACTTCCTACCACTAAATTGTTTAATATTGTAAGCTGTTAAGTTTATATAAATAATACCACGGTACGCCGTTTGTACTGAAGAAACAGTAAAAAATCTTCTTGGGGTTCCGTTGCGTGCGCTGTGAAAACGGTTTATTTAATCAAAAGTGTGTGATCGAATTATTCCTGTTTAAATGATCTAAAAAAAAATCCCCGACATCTTTTTTTTAAGATTAACTCCCAACGGGAGGCGAATAAGTCATGGGTGACATCTAAAGGTTTTAAAAGGTTTGTTTGCAAAAATAAATGATGCCCAAAATAAATATTCCACGCGGAGTCGTCAGCACAGCTAGTTTAATGCACAAGAAATGACACATAAAAGTTATATATGTAATTTTAGTACCAGCCCTGAGTTTGGAAGTACTTAGGTCGCCTCACCGCCGTGCCTCGAAGAGTAGGTACGTTAGCCGTTGGCGTTAGATATGACCTCTAACTAGGTAGTCCTTAAATTTATCTATCCCTTACCACCTAAGAACATTAACATATCCTCATTATGACGTCCAGCATTGTTCGCGAAACGTCAAAGTATTTTACTGAATCGTGCCACCCCTAAACACACTTCTAGAATTGGTTCACTCGAGGCGCTACTGGAGCTATCTGGTGCGTACGGAATGGTGACCTCCACGCTGGTACCCAGTCGGTACTCCATAGCTTCTTTTAGAGCCATTACGCACTGTCAACCAGACGCCGGCGACTCAGTCTCTCGGCCACCAAAGTGAGCGTCGCTACTACGCAGTAAGTTGCCGAGTTGCCTGGGCGCCTAACGATCAAGTGCGCAAGCACCCATTTAAACCATAGTCACTTACAGTCGCCGGTGTGCAATAGCGCTTAAAGAAAGTCGCGCCGCACTACACATCTATTTCATTGCCTAACATAATTATTTACTACAAGGCTTCTTATTATTGAACTAAAGAACATGAGGTACATCTTTATAAATCATTTGTTGAATACAAAATAGGAAATCAGCTTAAGCAGATATCCGTTTTAAAATAAGAACGCTGAAGCCGCGGGGCGTGCTTTCATTTGCGGCGACTTAACTCACGTTGTTGAATCTCATGATTGACACAAGAACAACGTAATAAATATATAAATGATAGTTTTAGAATGATAGATTAGTTCGAGTGTTGAATATTCGTGTAACGCAAATGTATTACTTACTTTACATTGCACAAAATCATATAAATCATATAACACAGAGAAAAATAAGATGTGCCAGGTAGGCGAATAAAATTTATACAAACATATATAAATGAATATAATAATATACAAAACTAAAAATTTAAAACGTGAGTTTGTAAAAACACTACTCAAATGATCAATGTTGTGGTCAGGAAATTTTTATCGAAAAGTAATTGTTAATTAGACAAATAGACAAAAATGGGTTACACAAATAACATAGACACATGGGTTTTTGAAATACATTAATGACACTAGTCTAATAATATTTACAAAATCTAGCATTACAATTGTAACTCATTTACATAAACAAACACTATTTACAAGCAAAAGTCTCATTTGACACCGTCTCAGTAGAGCGCGAGAGACAAACGGAACTAAAAACATTTCCACTTTAGCGTGGCTACCCTGGGGGTCACTCCGCGTACGAACAGGTGACCACATAGAAGTGTTCGTGCGAGTTCATAGTCAGTTTGCTGAGGTACTTAGTGAAAGAGGCGGCACCCGCGTCGCAGTACACAAGGCTAAGAGCGTTGTGCACCGGAGGGACCGTGACGAGCGCTTCGCCCACGTCGCGCTCCTCCGGCGCCACGTATACCGTCTGTCCTCCGCATATGGGGTGCGTCGGCACTCCCAAGTACAAGACCGCCTCCAGTCTGGCCTCCTGGTACTGCTCGCGCGCCGGCAGCAGCTGAAAGAAGCGGCCGCTTGAGTCTTTACATAATTCTGCAGCGCTCTAGTTAGGACAATCCGACGAATGTTTGCCGGACAATATGCGAGACATGCCGCGCATCAAATAGTTTGAGCCTAAACTACAATGAGTTTATACTGTATCTGTAACTGTTACTGGTACACGTTATCAGTGTTTTAGCTCTACTTATTATTCGAAAATTGCAGAAAAGATGTTGAAACAATACAACAAGGCATCAAAACAAGAACATGCTGGATGAAACCAGGTTTCAGTGTCCATTGTCGGTAAGCACAAACACGTTCAGACACGATTACCGACGAACAATACTAGGCAGTGTTTGAGCGTTAACAGCTGCTGCGCGCGGCATCCGATCAAGCATAGGGTAAGGGCTATGATTGGGCGCTTCATAAGAAGAACGCATAGGGGCATCTGTCTTTTCGCGGTAAACTCACCGTGTAGTCGCCACGCGTCCAGCGCTGGAGTTCGAGCCGCGAATAGGTGGCGATGGTGAGATCCGTGCAATCGGTGAGCACGCGTGCGAATGCTGCGCTGCTCAGGAGACGCACCAGCTCTCGCGCCTCGTGGTCGCGGGCCAGCCACGCCTCGGACGCGCGCACGTACCTCCGCCGGTGTCTGCCCGCACACGCCTCCCACTCTACGTCTGCGGTATATGTTCGATCAGTCGAGTTGCGTCCGAATTGGGACAGGTTCCCTATAGCACGGTCGGCGTCACTCACCGGGCGACTCGAGCGCTTCAAAAAGCGCCCGCACGCGCTCCGGTTGAAGCACGTCGCGCAGGCACACCTCGCTGGCGCGCTCCATCTGCGCTAAGATCTGCGTGCGCACCCGCGTCGACATATACGAGCTTTCCAACCACTGCTGGACCACCACCTGCGTGATCGAGAACAAATTTAATTTGCTGCCCTTCCCTACTCATACACAACTGATTAGTGCGACTCACCACTTGCGCGTGTGGTTTGTGCTTGATGATTTCCTCAGCCGATGGCGTCTCAGGCGTCGGTGCGGGCCCATGAAACCATCCATTTATCGAGAGTCTCGGCAACTCCATAGAGAGCACTTCGCCTACCTGATGGTAGGACTCCTTGCCGACTTGAAAGAATGCGAGGCTGTTGTTTGAGGGGTAAATCCGTCGTGCTACGTCTGTTGGTTCACCGTTCTCGTCCCGCGCAAACAGCTCTAGAGCGCCACCCATCTCTTCCGACCACCCGCACCACTTTTCCACCTGCACATACGACGATACTTAAAAACAATAACTTATCATATATTATATCAATGGAGTATTAAATATAATTTTGAGGAAACAATTAGACAAAGTGAAGTATTATTTTTTAATAATCGAAAATAAATTGAAAAAGGTTTCCGGCATCGTCAGCGTTCCGTGCTGTTGTTGTGGAACGCTGAAGATGTCGGTTTGAGTCCTGCCCGAGTCGAAATTTTTTTCAATTTATTTTCGATTTTTAAATTATATAGTGCCTTCATGTGCAATAACATGTGAAAAATATTAAAGTTTTCAAACAAATCGTATTAACTATGCTACATACATGTCATAACAATTCATAGACATAAAATTTGAGGTGGCTGTTTTCAAATACTGTCTATATGTCTTCCCGTGACCATGGCTGCTGCAAAGCATCCGAAACGTCGGGCCGAAGTTAAAAATCATTTTCAAATAAGTTTAAATAATATATCGCGTTTTAAACCGTTAAAGTGTTTTATTTAAATCTGGCTGTTTTCATTCTATAAATATACTCGTGCAAATATTATATTTATATAAACATACACTATGGTGTGTCGTATCTTTATTGCCGTTGTGAATCCTCGGAGGCAGCCGAGGCGGATGCCAGGGGGCCAGGTACAGAATGAAAGCGACGCGTCTGTCTGACAGCTTATCGTCATGTATCAGTAAGTGATCTCCTGGCCCATACAATGAACATGCCGCCGACACGCGCTGCAGTTCCAAGCCTGTCACTTGTGACACCTGTGAGCAATGAGTACTAGTACTGTAAGGTTGTATTTAGTCTAAGCTAAAATAAATATTCAAGTTATTATTTTCGTAGACATACCCAGCTTTTTAGTTCAGTCTTTAATAATTCATAGATGCCTCTAATACTCCTCTGCCAAGTAAGGTTAGCAAGGTCTGTGGTCTGGTGAAATTCATAGAGATCCATCTTTTTTCTAGTCCAGTCTAATGTGTTCATATCGTCAACAATATTATTTATGATTTCAGGATTAGCCAGGAAATTATGCAGATGACATACTTTAAAAGGTTTACAGGTCAGGGTCACTTCTTCACTCGAGTGATCTTTCTCCTCATTCCAATGACTGGTTAGTCTTTCTATCAGCTGTTCTGACTGGAATTATTTTATTTTATTTTTATTTTTATAATATTAGGAAAACTTAACAGCTAATAGTTATAAATAATTTAGAACAGGAAGAGTAGAATAGTAAAACTAGGGGAAGTTTTCACTTTTTAATATCTACTTTTTAATCTATATTGAGATTAGTAATTATCAAAACACTGTGTGCAATCCAATCTAAACAGCCAATATTTAGTACATATAATAACAATAAAATAAATAAATTTATCATAAATGATGAAAAGTCCCTTTTTCAATAGATAAAGGTTATAAAAAAGGCTGATTGACTACTTGGCCATAAGTAAAATAATATTAAAATAACAATTTACAATGAAAAAATTTACAAGAGTAAGACTGGTGGAATCTTTATTATAAAGCAACTGCAAACATGATAGAAATTTAAATATGAGCTCAGTAAAAATGTATTTACCTTTATAGCTGGATTGAACTGAGGATCATCCATTCTATTGGCTCTAGGATTCAGATGAGACTTCTTAGCTTTGGTTTCAAACTTATCCTTAATCACAATTGAGTCGTCCTCCCAGGGAGAATCTGAGTCTGAGCTATAATCTGACGACGACGATGATGATGTGTAATCTGAAACCAAATCACTAACTGAAAACAATCCAAAAGTGTAAATAAAGACTTAAGGAAATTAAAATTCCCGCGTCAAGAATACTGTACTTGTTTCCTTTTAGAATGGTAACAAACCTTTACGAATCCGCTTGACTTCGTCAGCCGAGGCCTGATACGAGTTAACGGCGCACACGTCCGAGTCATCGCTGTCCGTGTCCGATATTTCAATTACAGTACTCGAAAGTCTTCGTTTCGAGACTTGTTTCTCGCGCGTCGCGCCGGCGTCGATATCTCCACTAGAGACGCAGTGCGGCTCTTCCGTACTCAAAGACGGTTCATCGTTATCCTTTTTCGGTGAGCTCATTATGTTTTAAAATCATACATAATATTTTACGAAAAACAATATGAAACAAAATTAAACCTGATTTATAAGTGTTTTTAAAGAGACACCTAACCTGAAACCTTCGACCACAGACTAAATTCAGACAAACTAAACACAGATGTGGTTGACAGGCACTAACTCTGTCGCATAGGAACCAGTTTAAACCATAGATAGTAGTGGATTAAATCTCATATCTCGTTGCTATTATCATAATACAGATGAAGAACAATATATTATTTTATATTAGATGTTATTAGAAGTGAAGTAAAATTGTGTTATTGCTTTTCACTAACGTACTTATATATTTTTTTGTAAATATCGGTTTTAAGGAAGCTACAGTTTATGAAAAATTATATAAATAATAATAAATTAATAACATTTTTTTTTAAATAGAGGTAATACTACAACTTATTAGATGACAGTGTTGACATTGTCAAAGTTTCTCTTATATGCCTTATGGGCTTATGAACTGATTTGAATTGCTTAAGTTTAAAATTTTTATAAACACATGTATGCATTATATTATTTAGTATATCACTGTTTTGCAATGTATCTCTAGTAATCAATTATTTAATGTGTATAGTAAATAAAAGGCGCGGTAAATAATTTAACTTTAAAAATATTTACTTTTAGGACTAAATCTAATTTTTATGGCCTCTTAACTGTTACTTATTATAGTCGTTATTAATACAAGTACTCACAATGACGTTAGATAATTTGGAGTCACACAGTCCACAATGTCAGTTCTTCGTATTGAGAAAAAAACGATTATGCCGTATGACCGTGCGTCCTGGACACAGTTATTGTGGAGAGCACCAGCCTGATCCGGGCGCCGACGGAAACAATGCGAGTATCCTTTATTGTATAAATTTTACAACTTAAATATATCACTAGTGTTCATAAGTAAAGTCTCCCTATTTTTTGTGTACATTTTAGGTAGATAGTCGAATACCTTGCCCCAACGACCCTAAACAGTAAGTATCATTAAACATTATATATTTTAGAAAAAAAAACAATATATTATTTAATTCAAATTCAAAGCTTAACTTAGCCCGAATATAAGAATTGAGTAAATAGTTAGAAATTTATGTGGACTGGCCATATTATAGCTATTGGTGTAATACAGATTATTATAATTTTATTTATCAGACATCTGTAATTTGTATTAATGTATTGAACATTTATAATTTTCAGTACCTGCTTTGCAAGTAAGCTAGCTAAGCATCTCACAATATGTAACGCCCGTCTGGAAGAACATCCAGCATACATCCAGAAAAATGTTAATACAATAACTGAGGACAGTCCTCCTAAAAAGTCTCTCACTGAGATCCCTCTATTGGAGCTGAGAGCACTAACTAAAAAGGTTAACCAGTTATTTGAGCGTAAGTTGATTATTGTAGTGGTAAATATAACACCTCATTTAAAATTTGTCTTGCCATTATAAACTTTTTTTAAAGTTTATTTCATGCTAAAACAGTTACAGAGATAACATATTTCCAAATTCCTAAAAAAAAACACTGTAAATTAATCAGGTTAGGTGTCTCTTTAAAAACACTTATATTGTATATTGATTCAACAAAATATTGCAGAATATGTACAAAATGAAATAGAAACCCTCACTGACAGAGACATACATCCAGTAGTAGTGGAGGAATTCGCTTTAAGTGGGCGAACAGAGAGCTCCCTCCGCCATTTGAGACAGGTATCCAGGCTAATGTATGTTATTGAGGAAGAAGAAATGGTACAAGAAAGTACTTGCTATGTGGAACTGGGAGCTGGGAAAGGTAGGAAGCTTTTTCCATTTGATTTATTTATTTTGCTTATAAAAATAAATTTTCTTAATTCATTCATTTTATAATTTGCTGGTACAGGTCAACTTTCATATTTTGCATGGCAGGCTTGGTGTGCTACTTCGAAGAATAGTCGGGTCTTGTGTGTAGAAAGAGCCTCACTCAGACATAAGCATGATAACAAAATTCGTAATATATTGCGAGAATCAAATCCAAAATCTACCAATTCTGCCCAAGCCAATGATGGTAACATATCCATTATGGATGAATCAACCCGACTACGAGCAGACCTTGCTCACCTCTTATTACATGCTGTGCCTTCCGTTGAAATATGCAAAAATGTTGTGGGTTTTGCTAAACATTTGTGTGGAGTTGCCACAGGTTAGTATATCTCTCTCTATACTTAATGTTTTATTTAAATATTGTTTATGTCTATATTTCATTCCTTTCAGATTACTCTTTGAGATGCTTGGTATCACCTGGAGTGATAAGTAAGACTCAGGGGATTTTAATTGCAACCTGCTGTCATCATCGATGCCAGAGAGATGGTTATGTGGCAAATGAGCATCTTTTGGTAATCTACTTTACTACATTACTAACAATGTAATATTGTTTTGTTATTGAAAATGTTTACTTATTTATATTGAATTTTTAGGATCTGGGCTTAAATGCAGAGGAGTTTAACATAATTTTGGGTGTGGTATCATGGGCGACCTGCGGAGATGGACGCAGCCGCAGTAAGAAAACAGAACCTAAGGAAACAAGCTCCGATCGTTCACCAGATACGACTACAACCGTCGGATCTAAGGGTCTTGGGTTATCTCGTGAAGAACGTGAAGAGATAGGGCGACGCGCAAAAGCCTTGCTGGACTGGGGTCGAGTGCTTTATCTTCGAAAGTGCGGATTCAGTGCTCATCTTGCCCATTATGTCCCTAACACTGTGTCACTTGAAAACATTTGTATCATAGCCAAACGAGAGACTCCATAATAATAAATAAAGTAATTGCAAATATAATATTTATTCATTATATCTATGATCATCTATACAAATCAGGAAAATGCCAATATGTTAACGATATAATCCAAAATGTAACTATTTTTTATTATGTATTATTATAAAACTAACTTATAAAGAATAGCCTTTAACAAAACAAAACAAACAATATCAAAAATACCTTCAACTTAAAAGAATCCATGGCAAAAGTTGTTGCAGCTAAAAACATTATTCAATACTTAATTAGCATTTTTTTAAAGTCACTTCCATTAAGTTGTATCAATACTATGTGTCCTACCAATTCAAGTAATTTTAATATATTTTTAAATATTATACAATTGTGTGTATGTCTGTCCTATATGACTCGTCAACAAAGTAAAGGAATTGCTAATTTGCGGTAGGATACAAATTGTTCTATTGGAGCGCCAAATAGGAATGATATACATAACAATTTTGTAATAGGCTATTTGTTCATAATCATATTGTTTTATGTAGCGCTTAATAATAATGGAATAATGTTATCTTTCAAACAATTGTAAAATGCACCTCAAAAGATAATTTGTTTTTAGAGAATCAGTAACCATATTTCTCCTGTATAGAGGAATAAACTCCATTGGCTACGTTGCCAACGAGAGAGGATAGGCGACCAGCGACGCGTGTCACGCCGATTCGCACGGACTCGCGAACCTGAAGGAGAGATAAGGTTATGAGTTTAGATCAACGCAACTGTTTATTCTATGGCAACCACATGATACGTACGTCGTCAAGGTCAGGAGCAGAGACAGTGAAAGCCGGTTGTCGCTGCGGACGCGCCGAGTCCCCTCCGAACATTTCTGCCGATGATATGTGGGAGCTGCCCGAGAATCTCGACATGGCCGATTCCCCTCCACTCGAACTATCCTGTTACAAAGGCGAAGTTAATTTCTATCTTTGTCATATATAATGCTTAAAGATGATAAAAATACATACTTGGCCTCCGAAAAACTGCGCGGAACTGATGGACTTAGCAGAGCCAAACTTCTTGACAGCAGAGTCATCATCCTCAGCCACCGGCTTCCTCGCAGGTCGACGCGTTTCATTAGACTTTCCACCTGAGGGCGATGGTTCGGCGTTGAACATGGACCGTACGGGTCGAAGAGGCTCCGGTTCAATACTCTCCCAGCCCGATTCGCTCGGCGCCCCGCGATCTCCCGACGAACCAAGGTCAACGCTGCGACTGCTGAATGGTTCGTTTCTAGGAATCACTTTACGATTACTCACTAGGGCCCAAATAGAGGTCAGTGGTAGGAAATGTTGTTTAAGAGGTGTCACCTAATCATGGTAAAGGCGGCTGCAAAGTCGTCGATGTCGTGTTGCGACGTCGACGTGGGAGCGTCCTCCTGTTCAATGCTCTGCATAGCATTAGTCGCACTGTGTGACACACCACCTTTGTCCCTCACCATGGTGCTAGCCATTCCTAGCCTGTCAGAATGTTTGCGTTGGTCACTTGGTTTATACTGCAACCTCATGGCGGCCACTTCCTGTGCAACTGCCTCCGCCGAAGCCGTATTCGCCGCTTCGACCTTTCAATGTGTACATTGTTATTACTGTACATTCAAAGGATTGTATGTAAAAGATTTATTTATGACTAATATACCCTAACCTACAGTAGGGATCTGAACCATAAATTCACAAATAATAGCACTACATATAATATACTCTTTGTCTTAGTTAAAATTACTATTAAATTAGTTTATGTAAGTATATATACCTTTTCACATTTTACATAGTTCAGTATTTATTTAGTGCAAAGTATCTTCAATGTAGCCAAACCCTAAATAAAAATAAGTGTTTTATTTGATGTGCATAAACTACAGAATACTCCTTACAATTACTGACCTCTACTTTGAGTTTCTCAGCCATGATAGCTTCTCTTTCAATATCTTCAAAGTTGGTGGACACCTTTGTAGCTCCAAGACCTCCTTTTCGAGCTCCCAACTATAATTAAATAATAGCATTTGTAATAGGAACAACTGAAACACAATAATCAAAACACAAGTACATACAGTAGTTCTCCTTGCTGGGGCTCTGGCAACCGGTTTACCTGACGGCTGCATGTTAGAGTTTGACTCAGACATTCCCCAAAGTCGAGCATCTTCACTAAAATTATTATTGACGGGTGATATAACAGATGTGTTTTCCTGAAAAGTAGTTGGCATGATTAAGTTTTGGAGTTAACAATTATGATTATGTACTTCAAACACATTCCAATATTTGATATTTAAATGTTAAATCAGAATAGCTTGCTTGCAGACATTTGTTTAGTGAATAAAATAAGTGTAAAGCTATTTGAGTATCCAGGCTGTTCATCCATTATGTTTGAGAAACTGATCTCAGGTTTTGCCATCATAAGTGGATGTCAACAATAGATGTAGCATATTCGTAAACTAGAGAAGACCAGTCATTAGACTATAGTTACTAGTTTCAAAAACCTAAGAAGCTTTGTAATATTATTACAGTTTCATATAATTAACAAAATAATTGTAATTTTTGTCTATAAGCCTTGCATTACATTTATTAAGGTAAGGTTGGTTAACAAAATTATGTCCATATCTGAAGGCCATGGGTAAGAATGTAAATGTATATATACTTCATTTTTGATCTGTTTAATATGAAGCCTTAGCTTACATGTCTCTTATTTTATTAATAGAAAACGCAATAAACACACAATGACTATTAAAATGATGTGTTAGTTATTAGAGCCTTATTTAGTCTCAAAAAAAGGCTCATGGATACCTGTGAATTAGAGTTAGTTGTGTCAGTATGTTCTGCAAACCAGTCTACCTCCTTGCTCTCCTGTGTTTCTTTCACTTCTGCAACTGCATCCAAGTGTAGCTAAAAAAGTTATAAGACTTATAAGTCTTCAAAAGTATTTATACAATGAAGACTTACCAAATTTCACAATAAATAATACTGAGACTTAGTTTGAAATTTTAAATGTAGGCACTAAAAATAAATTCTCTCAAGCCTCACTTTGGTGCCATATGTTTTCATGGCTTGTTCTGACAAGCTATTTAATTTATCTTTGTACATTTGCGCTACTCTTGAGCTGTACTTCTGCCGAGCGTCCTCCGTAACTAATCCATGAGTGCGGAAAAATTGCGTCTGAAAACAAAACCATACTTAATAAAAGAAATTAATTCAATATAAATCTTGTCTATCGACGTTCTGTCTAGTTCGTACTGCGTTCAAATTTCCGCCTAGTTGCATGTTTCGAAGTTGCTTCCATGTCCAATTAGTGTCAAGTTGGGTTGATCGTACAAAGGTGAGATGAACGCCTAGACTCCGATGCACAGCTGAGCAGTCCAGACAAATGAACACTCCGTACGTCACTGACGACCACGTAGGATTCTTTGCGTTGCAGTCGAAACATACCTATAAGCGATAAAAATTGGAAAAACGTAAGCACGCACATTAAACGATGGTTTAATAATGTCACAATAATAAGAAAATCTATACATACTTTGTTAGCAGGAATAGAACGTAATCTTTGAAAAATAGATTCAATATCGCCTTTACTCGGTCCTCCGTCAGCCATTTTCCAAGTTTTGACGTTTACTTGAGGCAGGTCAGAGGAGAATTTTGCCAACTTGACATTATATTTGTCGTGTTGTCATCTCTCAGTAATGTCAAAACATAATAACTATGCTGTTGCTAGATTGTAAAATATTGTTAAAAAAAACATTTTATTTATAAATTGTTTTTACTTTTGCGGTTGGCTGAAGTAGTAACAAGTTAGACACTTTAATTAAGCAATTTCCTATAAAATATGTTGGACAGTGCTGTACCGAATATAAAACGACAGTGAAACAATTTTAAGTTTAAAACATACAATTTCAAATGATTGTCTAGTCTAAAGTTTTTTGTTTGCCCGTTAGAGATGTTAGCAATAACGCCGTCCTTTCCAGCCTATTTAGTTTATATGTGAATTTTGTAATAATTTCTATCTTTTATGTAGACAAGTGTTAATATATAAATAAAAACAGAAAATTATAATTTTCAATTCAATATTTGTCTAAAACAAAGTCGTTGAATTACATTGTTTTTTCAAAAACAGTCGTAAAATATGTAACATAGGTAATATTACCTATGTTACATATTTTTGGAGTTAACATCTCCTGATGATGCCGTCCACACGTGATGGCGAAACGTCGAGAACCTCTTCTCGCTCACATCGGCTCAACAGCCCGAAAGACAATGATATGTTGAATTGTCTTAGTTATAAAATACTAGCGGCCCTGTCCCGGCTTCGCACGGGTAGAAATAAATAAGTTCAGATATTAAAATTATAAGCATGCTAATTAAAACGACTATGAATCACTAGATTAAAAAAATGTATTTCGCGTCCTAGCTGTTAACGACCTTTGTCTATCACGCTGTGTCAGGAGCCGCTGCGAGCATTCAGTGTTAGAGTCCCATGCATGCGTTCGCGAATTCCTAGCTCTATTTCTTTCAAGTCGCTGAGACGAATTTGCATTTTGTTCTGCAAAACGAACTTGAACAATCGACGATAAGTTCTCTGGCTTGTGATTGGGACGCGTACACTATAATACTTTTCAGATGATTATTTTAGGAAGAAGAGTCTCCAACAAGACAAACTTTGCTTTGCAAATCTCATTTGGGAACTATTCTTAGATAGCTGCGACCTTCTTCTTCTAGGCATATTGGTATGAAGGGTATTTATTTTAAATCAGAGAAATTAAGAATAAACTAATAATAATACAAAAGAAGTTCTAAAAAGAACTTTCACAAATATTATGCAAAGTGTGATTCCTAATACTAAACTAAGTAGCTTTGAAAAATGTTAAAAAAAAAATCGAAATAAATGTCGTTCGCGCCCCCTGCCCCCTATAGTCGAATTAGCTGCTCGATGCGCGGCGAGGTGGCCACCGCCGGCATGCATTTTTATTTTAACCTCGTGATATCTTTTAAATGGAATGTCCGATTTCAATAATTAAAAAAGTAATCATCAGGTATTGAGACAGTCTTGAATATTAAATTATTTATTCGATTAAAAAATTTATTGGATATAGTAATCGTGTACTAAATATAGCCTATGTTACTCAGATGATAATGTAGCTTTCTAATGAATTAAAATCGGTGAAAAATACAATTCTTTCCTCTTTATAATATTAGTATAGAAGATCTGTCATTGTTTGTTTTTTATTTATTAACCAGTCACAAAAATTGGAGAATTTAGTATCTGTGGTGAATTTAAGTCTAGAACAATTCAACAATAAAAAATTGTCCAAAATAGGCGAGACTTAATATATAGGAATCTGTGGTAAACTCAAAAGCTCTATTTTTTGGTGGTAACTGGCAAGATTCAAGAATTCTGGAATATATCTGTGTGAAAGGACGCAGAAAAAATAATAAAACTGTAATTAAAAGTAATATTCGGGACTAAAAACGAAATGAACTATGATATGCTACGATAATTCTAAGTTTGAATAAAACTCCCGACGATTACTCCCGCGTTGAGTGCATGATAATCGTTAAAATTTTACTGTTGAAGTGGACGTGTTTCATAAAAGTAGTTTTCAGGAGAAGATTTGATACCAAAATGAAAATAATAGTCTAGAAAGCTGTTGTATGTCAAGCTAAATGGAGAGTGGTGAGTTTGGAAGTAGCGGCGGATGTGGAGAGGAGATCGAAAGAGCACTCATGGACCTGGGCCCGCTTCTCGGAGTCAGCATTAAGGAGGAGGTACCCGACGATTCTGCAGATGGCGTGGCTTCTTTACGGACCAACGTAAGCGGATTTGCCATTTGGAGACATAATTGTGCCAACAGGGCCAAGGTGAAAGCTACTTTACATATTCTTCTATTTCAGGTGAGCAGTAATCACGATGGTGCTGAGGGTAATTCTGGTGCTGATGGGTCTGGCAAGGGAGATGGAGCAGATTCCTTACCTTCACCAGCAACTCGCACTAGTTTTATTTCAATCAAATGTGTGTTCTGCCATGGTATTCTTTCACAAACGGAGGGCACTCCTAAACTCATGGAATGCCTTCATTCAGCATGTGAACTTTGTGTCAAAACAAAAGTAGAAGAGAAACTGGCTGGTAGTAGAGATTTTTTAGGTATTGTCTTTATTATTCACTGTTTTGCAATGTAGATGTTGGCTTTTCCTGGTTGGCACATATATAGATGTGAAATTTATAGGAGCGGGTCGTGTCACAATCCAGTGTGCTGCATGCAGACTGCAATGTCAGCCCAACAATATGATTGATCAACGATTTGTAGTGGAGAAAGTTTCAGTGGAGCAGGTGGGCAACACTGGTAAATACCCATCTATAGTTGTTCTTGTTAGATCCGTAATTTGCTTTCAATGGAAACCTAAACAAACATTGATTCACATAGGAGGTAGTGGAGGTGAGCAGCAATGCAACAGCTGTGAGGACACAGAGCCCGCCAACAGCTATTGTGTGGATTGTGCGGAGTTCATCTGTGATAATTGTGTCCAGGCACATCAGAGGTGATTAAGAAATCTTTCTAATAGCCTTAAAACTAAACTATTAACAGAGCAGAATGTAGCCACTCCATTTAGTGAGCATATTCTTTTGTATTAATGTATGTAGTTGCATATAAACTATTTATACATTTACTCACATATTCACCTTTACTATTTCTGTAAATAAGCTTTACCCTTTATATTAATATAGTCAAAAAGAAGCATTGGAAATAGCAGCTGTCACCACTGTCTTATCCCATATTCTGGAATTCTGGAGGGACCAGCCTAGATTATGGTTTACGCAATTAGAGGCCACACTAGCACTACAAAAACAAGGAGATGATTACAAGTACTATACGGTAGTAGCAAAGCTATCTATAGAAGAAATAGAGGGTAATAACATAATTACATTGCCACCCTCCACAGGAACATTTAATCGACTGCTATGAAGAATCCAGATTTCAGAAATTATTATCAGAGATGGAACTAGGTGATCAGTAACCATCACAATTACTAAGAAGAATGTGAGTCCTCAGCAAAGGAAAATTAGGTGATGAAACCATTAACCTTTTATGGTTTAGACTTTTGCTACCATCTGTCACTACCCTCCTGGCTGTTACGGAAGATATAGAGAATGACAAGATGAGCCAGATCTCAGAAAAAATAATTATGAATTCAAAAATCACCGAAAATGCAAATAAAACAGACAACAAAGTGCAAACAAACAGAAAAGTGCAATTGGATATACAAGCAATTCAGCACAATCACAGAAGTTATCGACGTAATACTCATCAACGTTTCCCAATGAGGCCAAATTCAAGAACAGGCAGTCAGCAAATTTGTTTCTACCACGACAAATACCGAAAATATAGAGAAAAATAAAGAAAAATATATAAAATAGAAATTGTATTAAACCATGTAGTTGAAAACCAGATTTCCATTCAAAGAACCAGGAAATCTCATTTGAGCACAGAATACAGCGGATCTCTGTGCTATTCACCTATCCAACCGCCTTTGTTTTACCGACTGACAAATAGATGAATATTTATCAAAATTATTATTCAAGATTAGGTTAAAAAAATATGTATTAGGTAACAAATATATATATATATTTCTGTTTGTTGTTATAGTTATATACTTATTACTATTATTTTTTAAGGTGGCTGTATTGTAGCCGCTCTGTTTAGTAAGCATATTCTTTTGTGTTAATCTATGTAGTTGCACTATTTATACTCACATATTCACCTTTACCATTTCTGTATATAAGCTTTACCTTTTATATTAATAATGGAATTATATCACATCCTGAGTCTCATTACACTCCTTGCCAGTAACACAGATAAACAGAATTTAAGCAGTAAAAACCATTTTAGGTTGAAGATAACGAAAGATCATACAATTAAGGTCAAAGAGGAAGCTCTTGCTGAGCTGCAGGCTGCACAGGGAGGACGGACAGAAAATCATGATATGTTTTGTCGTGACCATCCGCAGGTAAACGCTTTATCTTGTTCAGGTGAAATGTTTCGTTTGCTGGATACCCAGTTGTCGGCCAACTTTCAACTAAGAAGATATATGTTGTGCAAATCTTGCCTTAAATTTTTGTTGTATTTTCCATGTTATGTAAATTGGGTATCTGACCATACTTGTTTGTTATCCAGTATTTTGCTGAATTTAAAATTCAAGCAAATAGTGACCAAATATCGATTTGATCTCTATTTTATAGAGACTACGCAAGGTCATAGTAGAGTATAATTTGAGTTTTATTTGGTAGGAGCGACTAAGTCTGTTTTGCGAGACATGTGATCGCCTGACGTGTCGTGACTGTCAACTGCAACACCACCGAGACCACAAGTACCAGTTTAGCACAGAGATGGCAGCGCAGGTACTGTGAAGTATAATTCAGTTTAAAATAGTTAATTTCATTATTTGAGTCTGTTTTATTGAGTATGGTGTGTAAATGAGTAAGTGTCAGGACGGATATATGAGATAAAGTGTTGACATTTATTTCATGGAGTTTATTCTAACAACACAAGTCTTAACAATTAAAATATACTGATTCAGGCTCGCGCCAGCATCGCAGCGCTCGTGTCCGAAGTGAGCTACAAACGAGTCCTCCTCGGCTCCGCCATGAAGGTGATACGCGATCGGCAACACCTTATCGCTGACAAGAAGAAAGCGCTCGTGCACGAGATCACGCAGACGGTCGTCAAGTGAGTGCTTCGAACGATCACTGCCCTCTCCACGCTGCACACGCAAAAGTTGCCACCTAATCGCTCTATGGCCGCTTTATAGGTTGACGAACGCGATCAACACGCGTGGCAAACAACTCGTGTTGCGGTTGAATGAAGTCTGCGACGGGAAGCAACGCACGCTAGGCGAGAAAAAAGAGGCGCTCGAACAGCTCGCTGCCATCACGGACCATTGCCTCGACTTCGTCGGCGCCGCCCTCGAGCAGGGTAGCGACACGGCCGTCCTATACAGCAAACGCGCCGTCTGCGCTCATCTGCAACGTATTAAGAGCCGTCGTGCCGATATTCCCAATCCCGAAATCCCTGTGCGAATCACGCTGGCCCTAGACAAACTTCCCGAACTCATTCGAGTGCTTTCAACAATTGGTGGAATTGTGGTCGACGGAAAAGTGGACGGCGGCAGCCCCAGTCCTGGATCAACAGCGGCGCCGGTACCCGTAGCTGCGGCGACCGGGGTCCCCGCGGTCGTCGCACCCTACCAGACGGCGCCGCACTCGGCTGTGTTGGCGCTGCAACAGGTCGCCATGCATCAGGTATCGTACTCTACGAGCCTTATCCTTGGTACCAATGTTATGTGTAATCACCGCGTAATATAACTTTAAAGTATGTCGCATCTACTTTCATGCCTCAGACAATGGCGCGGTATCAGGTCGGTTTGAGATTATTTACTTGTCTTGTCAGTTTATTTTTTTTTCTTGTGTAGTTTAAGATCTTCAGCTTTACAAAATTCTTGTTCTTTTAAATATAAATTAGTAGTATAATTTAGTTCAGTTTTTAAGTTTATATTTATAACAACCCAATTAATTTCACATGCCCTTTCCACAGTCATACGTAGCGGCGGTGTCCGGCGTGGGCGGCGCAAACAACGCCTATATGGGCATGACCCGGTCGCGAGCCCACACACCTCTACGACAGCCCCACGTGACGTCCACCACGCACCCGCATCACCTACACGGTGAGCGAAGTCTTGCTACTTAAACTACATCTAATTTCTCATTACTCAACCCTTACACTCTCTATTAGGTGTGAACGAGTTGAATCTGCGGGGGTTGCTTAACGCGTCGGGAAGAGGCAGTGGAAGCGCACCCGCGCGGGCGCTGCCCCCGCCCCCGCCCCATGCACAAAACGTTCATTCCGCATTCCAACATAGTAAGTGTCGCGTTTGTCTAAGAAGACTGCGTATCACTTTTACCTTTAATTGTCTCAATTAACTGTCCGCAGTGATGGGCGCTTACGGTAACATGGCGTTTCCAGCCAACTCGACAGCTTCCGGAGCGAGTGGTCGTCGGAGCGGTGGACCGCGCACCCCATCACCAGCCCCTCCCGCACCCCATTATGCCTCGCACACTCCTCCTGCCAAGTGGCACATCCCCCAACACGGACACAATGCAGGTGAGTAGAATGACTGACGACAATTCACCATTCAATTCCATGTTCGGTTGGTTGAGCAAATCTGACAGAAGCGACTAGTTGCAGAAGGCGCGGTGTCAGGCAGCGCCGGTGCCATACCGGGCGGCGCTGATTTCAAGATCCAGCTTGGGCGACCGCACTCAACGCCAACTGTGAACCGGAATCCCGTAGTAACGTCCACGAACCCCAAGACGCCGAGTCCCAGCCTCAACGTGAGTCGACGCCCGTCCGTCTTCCATCCCTATATTGTATAGTTCCCTCTTATAGAGCGTGGCCGTCTCGCGCAGGGCGGCGTGTCCTCCGAACTGGACAAGGTGTGCGCGGAATCCGTACAGGATCTGATGGCGACTATAGCTAAGCTCGACTCGAATGGTGTACAAGTGGTGCCGGAGCGCGCCTCTCCTGCCGCACCGCTCATCGCGTCGTTGCCAGCCTCTGCGTCTGCAATCGCTTCGCCCGAACTCGTGCATTCGTCAACTGGCGCCGCGCCGGCCGACCCGAACGAGGACTGGTGCGCCGTGTGTATGGACGGGGGAGAGCTCATGTGTTGCGACAAGTGCCCAAAAGTCTTTCACCAGTACTGCCACATCCCGGCCGTCGAGAAGCTACCTGAGTGAGTGATGCCCTTAGCTCTTTACGAATGTTAAATGCTCGAGTTATATTCATACAACGGTGCCCCTGTGCTCCACGGTAGGGAGACGGAGTCCTGGCAATGCTTGCTCTGCATTAACTTCGCGGCGCCAGGCGAGGAAGGCGGCGAAGCGGTGAACACGGGCGAGCTTGTCGGGCGACAGCGTCGCATCGTCGAGCGAATAACGCTCGAGCTCTACTGCCAGCTTGAGCTGTCGCTGCCGTTCCGTGAGCCTCAGCCTGCGCGCCCTATGTGCCTCGACATGATACGGTGCAAGCTGCAGCCGCGCGCCGACGGACGATACACGCACGAGGCGCAGTTCGTCGCCGATGTGCGCCTGCTCTTCCGGAACGTGTACAGATACAAGCCGGTGAGTCCGCCCCCTCAGTCTAGAGCGTTTACCATTTCCATCTATACGCCCCCTTTGCACGTTCCTTTCTTTTCAGCCTGACTCGCAACTGTACAAGGACGCTAAAAGGCTAGAGGAATTCTTTGACGCACAACTGCTGAAGTGGATGCCCGAGTACGCGTACTGGAGTGGCGAGGGCGAACCGCCCGCGAAACGATCCCGCCTCGAATGACCCGAGGACTTGTCGTCGGGCGCCTTCCTCAAGCCACCGCCTCCGCCGCCCCTCGCCAACCTAATGGCGATGTCGCTGCAAGGCCGCATCGCGACCCATAATAGGCCCTTCTGCCGGAGCCGATACCTCCCTTATTGAGGTTTTAATATGGATAGACTCAAAGTGGTTCCAAATGTCCTACTCTTAATAGAAATACTGTTACTGTTCCAATTACTGTGTAGTAATAACTATAAACATACTTATATATCACATATATATATATATTTTATAAATCAACTGTTGTATTAAGGCACAATCTAGGTTAAGAGATTTCGTAGCGAAATCGCAAATGTTACTTTTAACTTATTAATGGGATGACACATCACATTAAATTAAGCCCTCATTATGTGTCGATAATCAGAGGCCGTCATCGTGGACGTATATTTAATCTGGTACATTAGTATTTCGTTTTAATAAATAACTCTCGACAAGGATCAGGAGTTCATTAATTTATAAAAAAAATAAATTCTGAAAATCTTTAAACTGTTTCTATTCCATACAAATCAATTCTAATTACAATTCTCAATACATAATGGTGAAGATGGAAAATCCATACGTGGGGAAACCACAGCCAGTTTCCAATGGATATGATTTCTTCACAGTTTAAATATATATACTCCTTTCTGTCTGATACATATTTATATATTATTTAGGACAGAAAATGGCATAGGTTCACTTGTTGGAATGTCTCGGTCAAATTACAACTAAACAAGATGCATTGTTGACTTATTTTGATTTTGAACATTCGGAAATACCCAAGATGATTTTTTTCAACTATGGACGGCGGTTCGGGACCCTGACGGAATACCGTTACTCCGACCACCCATTTAAAAATCAGATATTCTCAACGGAGTCTAACAGTTTCAGAGAAATTTTAAATAGATTTAGGCGGGGATCGAATGCCGTTGATTATAACAAAGCATCCGACCAATGAACACTGGCAAAAATAAGTATGCTTTTTGAAACCTAAGGCTTGAGGTGAGCTCTAGAGCATGCTTACCGATGCTTGCAAGTGACAGCTTGTCATTCATGCACTGTAATGACATTTACGCTCGTTCACTAAATCGTAGTGATTCCTTGCTCAGTGTCATTCACAGTCTCGTGCTGCGGTGACTGGTCGGTTTATTGCATTCATTTTGTATATTGTGTGCAAACGTTTTCAGTAAATTAAATCTTGAAATAAATAGTTTATAGCTTAATTGAGCTTCGCGGTACAGCGATTTACTACCGAGGCTTGATATCGAGATCGGCGACACGACTTTGCTAAAAAGGTTAGTGACCTCTTTTTAAGGTCATCCTCTTGCCAAAACTTGCTTAAGTAATATTAACAAAGTTACTGACTAACGTAAATAATTAAAACATAAAGTGGAATCGTGGTCATATTCTTTTTTAACTATTTTTCTTTTTTATGACAAAAAATTATGATTATACCCCAGCTATATAACATCTGATGGAATGCCCTATCGGCCTATTTTTGTTTAAGATATTCGGAAATGCACGAACTTCAATTCGCGGATTTCCGAATATCTTAAACCGGTTCACCGGCAATCCAATTTAACTTTACGGATTTGTCAACGGAGGATGGTAGTTCGTGATCCGGACGGAACTTTCGATATTCTTGCCATGAATCAATCTGAAAATCTGGATAGTAAATAGATATTTACTATCCAGATTTTCAGATGAAGTAAAATGTTTTTAAAAAAATATATAAATTGATAAAAACATGTTGGACCTGGTGGACATCGAACCCAAGACTCATTGCTTATTATACACATTGCTACTTTTAGACCAACGACATTGCATAATTTTAAGTAAAAATAATTGTAGGTAGTGGGGGGTAGGGTTTGTATAAACATCATCTCAGGTGCTGAGGACGAATTTAATTATTTTACTTAAATTATGATATCTAGGACACTATAATTATAAATAGTTTAGGCGTTTTATAATAATATAGACATTAAAATGATCAACATATTTCTTGATTATCATTGTGTAGTTTTTTTTAAATTCTTTGTTGTGGCAGCCGGCGAGCGTATCGACCTATAAATAAATATAGTTATCGCGAACGGGTCGAGGTTCTCCGATGATTATTATTATTATTGTTTAAATGTTGTGAAAGTGGAGGTCGTCAACACTTTTATCTGCACTCGAGCGTTTGTGACAGCAAACATAATACGGCTGCATGAACTTAGAAAGCACACAATGATTACTATAAGATAGAAGGCCATATTATATTTATGATTTCTTTATCTAAGTAGAGATTTTTTTTATTAAATATGGTGGATTACAGATAAGATGCGCTTAATAATTCTGGAGGACGCCAGCGTGGTGGCAGACTGGGCGGCGCGCTTCGTGCTGCAAAGAATCAAGGAGTTCGCACCGGGCCCTGGGCGCCATTTCGTGTTGGGCCTGCCCACGGGTGGCACCCCGCTCGGCATGTACCGACGCCTCATTGACTTCTACCGCGAGGGAAAAGTGTCTTTCAAGTACGTCACTACCTTCAACATGGATGAGTACGTGGGTCTGCCGCGCGATCACCCCGAGTCATACCACTATTATATGTGGCATGAGTTCTTCAAGCATGTGGACATTTCGCCGGAGCACGCTCACGTACTAGACGGCACAGCTGAAGACCTCGCCGCCGAGTGCCAACGGTTTGAGAGGCTCATCGAAGAGGCGGGCGGAGTGCACCTCTTCGTCGGGGGCATCGGGCCCGATGGACACATCGCCTTTAACGAGCCGGGCTCCTCGCTCGTGTCGCGCACGCGAGTAAAGACACTCGCCTACGACACCCTCGAGGCAAACAAGCGCTTCTTCGATAACGACATTTCCAAGGTGCCGTCCAAGGCGCTCACAGTGGGCGTGGGCACCGTCATGGACGCCAAGGAGGTGATGATCCTGATCACGGGCGCACATAAGGCGCTTGCGCTGTCCAAGGCGATAGAGGAGGGCGTCAACCACATGTGGACCGTGTCCGCCTTCCAACAGCACGCACAGGCGCTCTTCGTCTGCGATGAGGACGCCACTCTCGAGCTCCGTGTCAAAACCGTCAAATATTTTAAGGTATTCGCCCTTATTCTGCGCCCGCGATGACCGGGCAGGTAGCTGTAGTGCGAGTGTGATCGTGCAAGTATGTATGTGTATGTATGGACGCAGGCGCTGAGTGAGGAGCACCAGAAGATGATCGAAGAGGTGCCTGTCGACGTGCAGCACCTCATTCACTGACGTCTCACGCTCCGTCCGAACCTGAGCTTCAGGTCGCCAGACACCATTCCACTCATATCATATATTAAATATTTTTATATACAATTTAAAAAAATAGTAAAAGATGTTTGTATTTTATGATTCGTATTGTGAGCGTTTAAGTGTGACGCTTTTTACGTTGACGATTAATATATATAATCATCGAAGTAGTGAAGTGTGCATTTTGCAGAGTCTGATGGGGGAACACAACAAGCTAATTGAGGACCACAGTTGATGCACACACTGCGGGGTAACTGCTCATTATGAAGGACCAAAAAATCGACTTTTATTCATTACTTTTGTAACTTTTTTCTATTGTTAAATATATTGTATGGTATTATAGCTATATTCTTAAAATGTTCATATTTATTAACACTAAAAATACAAGCACACTGATCTATTCCTAAAGTTTGTAATAGGCGAAAGGATTACTCATTACAACAATAAAGATGTTAATAATTTTATTTAAATATTTTGTACACTCTCAGTTTTAACAAATTTTTACCTTTGATCTCTTGTTTCTCAAATATCCCAAGGGGTGAGTGGTCAACATAATATGTCCCCAAATGAAAATGATACTGTATTCCTCTTCATTATTTCTTAACATATCAATTACATATTTTATTTAAATATTCTGGGTCTTTGATTTTGTTGCAATCAACTTATACTAAAAATAAGAGAATAATAGTACTGCAAACAAAATTATTGAGACCTTTTTTTACCTTTCTTTTAACCTTAATACTCTCTACCAGACATACTTGTTAGATAGTGGTCAAGGTTAATCATGTCATGCAACAACACACATGCGCGCGAGCAAGGCGGCCAACTGCAATGGAGAGGAGAGCCCGTCCGCTACGCGCATGTGCGTAAGCCCGATCTCCCGTATGAGTCTCAGCTTTACTTCGTCAGGCGCATCAAGCGTTTTCGCGACGCGAAATATATTACTTACAATGTCCTCAGCGGCGTATCCTAGTTTAACAAGTTTTGCTATCACCTTGTATGCTTCATGAATGTCCCGCTTCAGACAAGAATCTAACATGCTTCGAACTAGCATGGGGTGAGGCTCATCGCACACCTTGAAAACATGTTCAGGGCTCACATGCCCAAAGCCCTGCGCAGTCGATTGCAGATTGTTCAGAGCGGCGCGCAGGTCGCCCTGAGCCGTAAACACCACCGCTGACACACCATCTTCGGTATATGACAAGTTCTCCTTCTTGCAAACCTCCACCACCTGTAAGTCCATATTGACTTACTGTCAAAGAAAGTAATGTTACATATCTCTGATATAGTTTGATTAAATAGAATTATAGCCTTAACAAGTCATAGCATATTAATGCACAACATTGCTTTAAAAATGTAATCAAATAAAAATGAATTGTTATTAATAATTTTCTAATATTTTGTAAGAATTACCTTTGCCAAAATCTGTGCATCAGAAAGACGAGAATATCTCAGGACAGCACAACGAGACTGAATAGGTTCAATTATCTTCTCACTATTATTAGCAGCGAGAGCAAACCGTGTGGTACTAGAGTATAACTCCATAGTACGACGTAATGCCTGTTGTGCTCCATCAGTCATGCTATCTGCTTCATCCAATATCACTATTTTGTGTCTACCAGATGGAAGTGTAACCTATTTGATTACAATAAGTATTTTAATCTTAATTTAGACATAACCATTAAAAGTGAACAAAAAATATACCTTTTGTTGTGCAAACATTTTAATTTTGTTTCTAACGATGTCGATTCCGCGGTCGTTGGAAGCATTGAGTTCGAGGACGGCATCTTTGAATGCGGGACCAAGGAGGGAACGAGCTAGGCACAGTATCGTCGTAGTTTTTCCAACTCCTGGTGGACCGGCTATTATGATATTAGGAGCGTTGCCTGCCCTAGCGAACACAGCCAAACGGGATACGGTATCCTCATTTCCGACGATATCCGCAAACGTTTGCGGCCGATACTTCTCTATCCAAGGCAAATGAGCAGCTTTTCCAGAGGAAGCAGAAGATTGTGGCTTTCGTTCAACTGGTTCATCGTCTACTTCCATTATTGTTATTTCGTCATCACTCATTTTTGACAATTTTGGTAAATGCTTATAATAATAAATACTATTTTTAAAAACTCCTATCTTAACAAACCTTGACAAATATAGTTATGGAGTAATATTTAAAATACATTGATACGCGCGAAGCATTGTAAAATATTGTTTACATCCACAGATTACAAAGAAAAATTTTCATTTTTCGTGTATTTTTTCTAATTTGGCAATTTCAAACCATAGAGAACTAGTGATAACTTTAAAAGAGTGTAGTCGTTGCAACAGATAACATAGGGTTAAAGAAATATCAAATTGAAATGGACCAAACGACCTCTATATTCAAAATCGCTTTTGTTACGACAGAGCTTTTTTTTAATTTATGTCATTATTAATTAACTCTGTGTTTGTTGCGCATATCCTTGTTTAAATTCATCCATCCATTTTTATTAGTTTTAGCAAGAAATTGTGGTTTTTCATAATGAATTTAATCATTTTTCATTACTTTAAATACTGTCTTAAAGTGTTTTCAGTGTAAAGTTATAAGAAAATCACGATTTTATGTAAATTATGTGTTTGTTTACCAAAAATGCCAAGTAAGAAAAAATTTACTCTATTCTTTGATGATATGTCATTCTTACTCTGCATTACTGTTATTCTGTGCTATTTACTTGCTCAGTGACTCTGTGTATTATTTGTATTTTATCGTGTCAGCTCTAATTGAATTTTATTTTTAACTATATACTTAGTAAATTGTACATTTATTAGTTTCATATTATTTTAAAAGAATTAATTACTAGAGTGTGTTATAGTTTCTAATAAATATAATATAACATATAGAAAAACATAAATTTATGGCTGGTATCGAATGATTCATTCCTTTAAGATTGTTATTTTTACGGAAAAATAGTGTTTCGAACTTTTCACAATAATCATCGTTGAAATTCAATTGGTAATTGTACTGAGGGCGATTTAGTCCAGCCACACTGGAAATTATATGTAAGGCAAAAGGATCCTTATTTTAAGAACCAGGAAAATGGAGTGGTTATTCGGGCACCGTATGACTCCGGAAGAGATGCTGCGTAAGAATCAGCGCGCTCTTAACAAAGCGATGCGTGATCTCGATCGAGAACGCTTAAAGATGGAGCAACAGGAAAAGAAAGTTATAGCAGACATTAAGAAGCTTGCTAAGGAAGGCCAAATGGTTTGTCACATTGAAACATTCGAGAATTAAGTACTACACATTCAAGTCTGTAATGTCTTTAACTCTTCTAGTGTGTTTTTTTTACAGGATGCTGTCAAAATAATGGCAAAAGATCTGGTGCGGACGCGTCGTTATGTTCGTAAGTTTATGATAATGAAAGCCAATATTCAAGCTGTTTCATTAAAAATTCAAACCCTCAAATCTCAGAGCAGCATGGCTCAAGCAATGCGTGGAGTGACAAAAGCCATGGCCACAATGAACAGGCAGCTTAATGTACCGCAGATACAGAGAATTTTGCAGGTAGTTATATTATAATAGCTAATTTAACTTTACTTTACTTTATTGGATTGTACTTAATTCTTAATGAGTTTTAGGAATTTGAGAAACAATCAGAGATTATGGATATGAAAGAAGAGATGATGAATGACTCCATTGACGAGGCTATGGAGGGGGATGATGATGAAGAGGAAAGGTATACTAATACTTTTCAAATGATCAAGAATATAACAAAATATTTGCACCTCTTGTATTTCACTACTTTGTTGCAGTGATGCAGTAGTGTCACAGATCTTAGATGAACTTGGGCTGCAACTTAATGACCAGCTCTCGGGTCTGCCTCAGGCTACAGGTCCATTAGCTGTTTCTGGTAAGAAGTTTAAAAACGCAATTATTATTTTTATTTATTTTCTATCGGGGACACCCTGGGCAGGACGGGTGATCAGTCCACGTTGTCCGCTGATTACTTCACCCATTTCCCCATTTCCAGAAAAAAAACCTTAACTGCCTACGAAAGTAATTATTATAATAATTTTTATATAATCTAACAGCAAAAGCAGCAACGAGTCCGACTGCAGCGGTCGCGGGAGCGGGTGGGGGCGGTTCGGGTGCCGCTCTCAGCGATGCAGACGCAGAGCTACAAGCGCGTCTTGATAATCTCCGTAGGGAGTAAAATCACATACAAAGTCACATTGCCTTGTTATGTTAATATGTGGAATCTAAACAGGATACATTATAATCAGCCTAATTATTTATTATTATTTTGGCATTCTAATACGTTCAGACAGAATGTCTGAAAGCTTTTATGAAAGTATAACAATATGTATGTACATTAAAATATAATTAACCTTGTTAAGTTTGTAAATACCTATACAAATAAAGTTTTATTTTGCAACATTTGAATATTTTACTTTGTAAGTTTTTACCAAAGTAACACTATATACTACCCCTACTGTTGAGTATGTAATGAAAAACTATATTTTTTTAAGATTGACTTTAATAACACTAAAAAATATAACCTTGGAAAGTAAAATTTTCTAACAACAATATATAATTATATATTAAATTTCAACACTACTAACTGCCCACTTCTGGCAAATAATCTTCACATGCAACATTCCTTAAGAGATACATTGAGAACAGAGTAGCTACGCTAATAGACATCAATCACAGTAAAGATATACAGCTGCATGCTATTTTAAACCAATATGGCAACAACACACAATAGAAGTCAACATATATTCAAGTAAATATAATACAATAACAACTACAAAATCCGTTGATATGTCTAATCTTAAAGATAAGGAAGATTTAATTTCCACTAGAGTAGGAATTGTCTAATATAAAATAACTTTTTATATTTTACCTTTTACAATAATAAAAGCATCGCAAGTATGGAATGTTAAAAAAATATGATTGTTAAACATCATTGTTCATTTAAGTAATTAGAGAAGGTGTCAGTCTTGTTCACTATTAGGCCTAATAGTGTGGAACATTCCGTTTACTTTGAGAAAAAATAATATCAAGTATGACTTATGAGGAAGACAATTAGGTAAAGAAGACTCAATATCATTATAAATCAGCAGATCCAATTCCCAAAATAAATAAATAGAAAGAGAGATCACAATATGTTAATTGATTATTATTACTTTAGTCTAGTTATTATATAAAGTTAATGTAATATAATAATTTACTCAATTAAAAAGTAAGAGAACTTCAAATTTATCTTTTTGGCACCGCTTAGACTACAATTTAATAAGATTGATTGCATTATGCACAGTACTATAGTAGAGTTTCAATTTAATAAAAGAGTTCATTTTAGAGATCCATAATATTCCCATTGTATTCTTATTTTTTGTTTTTAACAACAATTGAAAACTAAATATTGCAATATAAATTGCAAACTATTTAAGCCATTCTGTAGTATTTTTATTTTATTTTTAAAGTATTGATGATTATGATTACAGTCTGTTGAAAACATTGATATATTTCTTATACCTTATATAAAATACTTACCTTACTAGTCAATCAAAAAACTAATATAGGCATTCATGAATAAAGTCCCAAAATCTCACTAGAGTTAATTAGTAACAACTGCGCTCTGTGGTCTCTGAAGCGCGCTCATTGCAATGAAAAACTGGCCTGAGTAGTAAGTAGACATCACAATGACCTGGACAACAATAATACTCATGTAAGTTACATTCTTTGAGTTTTACTAACAATACTTTACTTTGTTATGATTCAGTGTATGATGCATTAGTGGTAATAATTACCTGTTTGTAGGGAACAGTTCCCCTAAACAGGCTATACCCCAGGATGGCATCAGATATTAAAAAAAGCAGCACACCATACCGCTGGATACCCTTGCGCACTATGCCATGCCATGTCATGGTAGTGAGCAGTAGCGCGTATCCTTGCACCAGGACACTTAATGAGGCCGGAGGGCAGATAGCTTGAATGTACAATGAAACTCCTTCGTAAATGACATATAGAGTAAGGTAACTTTGCGGTTTCCACCCAAAAGCCAAGATATAGGCAATATGCGCCACGGCGAATGCGCCCATTCCCGGCAAGAAGTACTGCGGCCATACGAGCAATGCATCTCCTATCGCAGAAAGCCCCAGCCCAAGTGCCACGAAACGCGCATACCAGCCATACCCGCAGCCTGCAACGCATGCCATCAAGCACATCACCGGGGCACACTTGAATGCCGCCGCCCATGCTGAGGGAGGCCCGTCCGCCTCACAACTCAAAGCAAAGTAAATGAACACTGCTTTGAAGAATGGCACTAATCTTCTATTTTCTCTCACACAATTGATCTGTTAATATAAGATATGTATTAAATATACATAATATATTTATAACAAAGTAAATAAAGTCAACAAAGACAATACAACGAAAAAAGAACACAGAAAGTTGAGTCTGATTTGATAAGTATGACTCATTCAATATTTCTAATGATAATTTTAGATTTTTGAACTCACTAAAGTTTCTTTTCTAAAATAGGTATATAAACAGATAATAGAATAGAATACAATATAGAATTGTTTACCACAACACTTACCATATTGGTAAGAGATATCATTATAAGGTGTCTAGTATCACTTAGCACCCTAACGACAAATAAAATTCACATTAAATGTAAAAACCTATGAAGATCACCTAGGCCTTTGGTCATACCTTACAAATAAAACGCAATATATAACAATAAAAGATCGGAACATAGAAAGTGCTTCCTCTTGTTTCTGGACACGGCCGCCCTCTCCTTATTTACAGCAACAGTATTTGAGTAATATGACAATCACTGAAGGCCTTAATTAACAAAAAATAACAATTCAATTTGGTGTTTAAAATTATTGCGCCGCATTATCACTATCACGGTAACAACAATAACAATAACAGCAGCTGTTACTCATCTGTGAACTGTCAACTGACGGACAAAATATAGATCATAGACAGATGCAAAGCTAACAAAGTGAGGTAGCACATACCACAGCACTACGATGAATAACATGTCCGCGGAAAGGACATTAAAAATACCACAGAATCAAAATTTTATTGCATATAATATTAAAATATAAATCCGTAATCTATTTGTTGAATACTGAAACCTTTTTACTAATTAATATTTTTATCGTTTCTACGTATCTGTTAATGTCACAACCTTAATTCCTTCAATATTGTAAAATTAAAAGTATGTTAGTTTATTGAAACCTTTTATAGGGGTGCTGTCTCATTATTTCAATATTAATATGTTTTTCTTTTAAGACTTTACCTACACAGTATAGTACCTACGTGGTAACTACACTACTTTTTTTTTGAACAAATGAAGCACTGTAATACATAATCTCAATTAAATCTATTTGATCTGTAGTCCCACATACGTACGTCATCATATGACCATAGTTTAGTAATTCTAGGGAGTGAAATCACATTGATCACAATTGATTCCGAAATCATATTAAAAATTTCCACTTATCATCTAGACGCGACGGATATGCAGTATATAATAATGAATGAATAAAGACGACAGAACAAGCTTAAATTATTTATTCAACAACTTTTTGTGTGATTACATTTTGCCCTTTACATCCTTCGTGGCAAGATTTGTGATAGTTTTCACTTCTAAATAAAAAATGCCAAAAAAGAAGACCGGACAGCGAAAAAAAGCAGAAAAACAGAAACTGCGTCAAAAAGAAATTCGAAATGCTAGGGAGCATATTGACTTAGCACAACATCCTTGTAATCTACCGATGGAATGTGACAAGTGCCAAAAGTATGAAGCATAACTTATATTGTCAACGTTACTAATTAATAAACGCTATTAATATTAAAATTTCGGTGGATTTTTGCAGAAAACAGAAAAGTCGTGCATTTTGCTACTTTTGCTCGGCGCTGCAACGGCTGCCTGTTTGCGCGCAATGTGGGAAAGTAAAATGCATGCTAAAATCTGGCGACTGCGTGGTGCGCCATCCAGGTGTCTACACTACTGGCATGGGCATGGTGGTATGTTTTCAGTGTCCTTAGGTGTCTAAGCAAAACCTAATTACACTACTCATATATTAATTCTTATGTCACAAGGGAGCAATATGTGACTTCTGCGAGGCTTGGGTCTGCCATGGTCGCAAATGCCTTCAATCACACGCTTGTACGTGCCCCCTAGCTGATGCTGTATGCCTGGAGTGTGAAAGAGGGGTTTGGGAACATGGAGGTCGTGTATTTAGGTGCTGCTTTTGCCAAGGCTTTCTCTGTGAAGATGACCAGTTTGAACATCAGGCATCATGTCAAGTGCTAGAGTCTGAAACATACAAATGTAAGTGTTGATGTTAGGTTTTTAATTAAAATATTCTTAACCATTCTTTATTTTTAATTTAATTTTATTTCTAAAACACATTTAATTTAAAAGTGACAATATGCAATTACTTGTTACAGGCCAGTCATGTAATCGGCTAGGGCAGTATTCATGTATGAGATGTAAAACATGTTTCTGTGAAGAGCATGTGCGGCGACGTGGCACAAAACCAACTCGTGGACCACCACCCTGCCCGCGTTGCTCTTACACATTGCATCTCACCTCTGATCTGGCCCTCTCCAGTAAGTATTGCACTCATCATTTGTAAAAATCTATAACATAATGCTTTTTGTACATACAAAGGTCAATTTCTGCTCTATAATATATATTTCATTCAGGGGGGATTACACATAAGATGTGTAATCCCCCCTGATTTTGAATGACCAATACACATCACATTATTATTGCAGCTCGGTCTCACCGTTACGGGAGACAGGGAACAGCAGCTGCAGATGATGATGACTTCTCCAATGACTATTCTGCTTACTCTGAGAGAGGTAAGTGTATATATTTAATTTTTGTAAAGGTATAGTATTAAAAATAAAGATATGTCTATGGAAAAACTATTCAACATTCACAGTTTCAATTTAATTCATATAATACTTTATCTGTTTTCTTTGCTTTTCAGCAACATATGAAGATGCTGGTGATTACTCTTACTCAGATGGTGATGAGTCTGATGAAGAAGATGATGACAATGATGAAGATGAAACCTCCTCAGAGGAAGATGCTGCAGGTGGTCCTACTAGCTGTTCTAGTACTGTAGAAAATTCTAATGATAAAGCTTAGTATGTAAAGAGTTCCTGTGACAATTGTTTTCTTTTCTAGTTCTCTTGTCTCCAGAAATTTTAGTTATTATTAGGTATATTGCTCATTTAAATCTCCAACAGGCAAGAACATAAACTTATATTTATTTTTGTTTTTATAACAATATTATAATTGTATATAAATTCTAAGCTTGTTGTGTTTGCCTTAAACCTAAAGGGAACTTTAGAGAACATAATATAATTATGTATTTTGTATGCAACATGTAACTGTAATACTAATACTCTTTCAATGAAATAAGTAAAATAAAGAATGTAATTTATTTACGATTTTTCATATCTTTTTGCCTGGCTTATTTTCAAATGTTGGAAGAGAGAAGTGTAGGGAGAAGATTGATAGGATGCGAAAAATATAAAAAATAATGTTTTAAACAACGGTCCTCATTAGGAGTTAATGAATGCTTTGCTATAAGTTACAATAATGTTCGACAAAAGTTTTAATTAATTGGCAGCGATTTGAACCTAATAAACTTAATACCGCACCAATGATTATATGTTCAATATGTGTATACAATATGTCCCTATGCCCAAGTAATAAGCATGGCATAGCATGTGCTAAAGCTTCTTATAGGGAAAACAAATTGGTTAAAGAATATATAATATGTCATGTCAAATGTGATTGTCAACATTTAACGTCACAGCGTTGACATATGTCGTGTTGTTTTGAAATATGACATATTACTGATAAGCGTCAAATCTCTTTAACAATGTACTTTGAGATCGAAGATTGAATGAGCGTCGCGAACTCGCGATACTTGCAACCATTTTCTACAAAATTTTATATACAACGAAGAACGAAAGCCTTGTGTTCTCTGTGTATTATCTTTAGTGTATGTGTGAGAGTTGTTCTTATCATATCAATCGTCTCTTGTTCGGTTAGTGAAAAAAATGTTGTGGGAGTGGAGGTGAAAGTGATACTGGAAGACGAGACGTAAGGATGGGCGTGGGCCTGCAACCTCTCGAGTTCACGGAGTGTCTGGCGGACAGCCCTCATTTCCGCGAGAATTTGCAGCGCCATGAGAAGGAACTAGAAAGAACCAGCCAACAGATCAAGCGACTCATCAAGGAGGTCAAGGATGTCGTGCAAGCCGCCAAACGTGAGTTTTCAATATGTTATTTGCCTCTCACCGATACGTGACGTATACAAAGCTACTGAGGTCGAGCTCCTTAAGGTTGCATGGTACCACCTATGATGATGAACCACAAACACTGCCTTATACTGACAAGCTTTAGTTATTTACGACGTAACACATCATTACCACTATTCACATTTTTATGTGTTGTGTGTGTGTGTAGGTTACACATTTATGTATCACAGTCTTTTCAAAATTCTAATGACAGTGTTCATTACCTAAAAATTATAATAGTCATTGTTCTGTATTCTGGTTGCTTATGAGCCGGAGTTGTTATTATGTTAGAGTCAAGAATGACTAATATTTGTCATACAGTTATTTCTATAATACAAATGTATCAGAAAATGCATTCTGCACTTTGGTGATGAGTTTATCAAAATGTATTTTTAATAGGCAATCACATTGGTATATGTATGCTAATGGAAGTAAGAAATACTAAACTCTTTGGCTTTACCAACACTTTCTTATTTTGTGTTATGTAATAATATTTTTGTCATTCTATAATAGAATATATTCCTATAATATAAATTTAATAGCTTCAACTCAATTAAGTCATGAGAATGGTCTTTTTATTGGCCAATTTCAATAACGTTTGTATCCTTAATAATTTAAGAGGGAGCTCTGTTGTGAGTCATATCTTGTCCTACAACTACAAAAGTTAATTGACAGAGCCTCCTACAATCATACTCTGCTCCCTATATGTGAGTACTAGTATTATCATTAATATTATAATTTATGCTAATTCATAGTAAACATTCATAGATTCACCCACTTATTCATTTCATAATAATTGTCTTAATCAGCCACAAATATTCCGTCAAATGTTTTATTCTTATTGGGAATGTGATACCTTTTATGTATAGAGTGCATCATTAACATTTAGGTTCTATTGAGTTTAGAATTACTGTTATCAGTGTTATTTGGTAATGTGGCAGTGATAAGAATTGATAGCTTATCACCGAACGTCCAGTACAAACGCGCACCTATGTTTACTCTAACAGGGCTGGGGGCGGCTCAGTTGGCGCTTGCAGGCACAATGGAGCAGTTCGAGTTCGCGTGCATCGGCGCCTCGATGACGGAGGACGAGCGTGTCATCAGCCATTCGTTGCGTCACTTCGCGCACCTCATCCGCACCATCGAAGACGAACGGGACCGTATGGTGGGCGATTCACTTTTACCAATTGACGGCGCTCGGTGCATACTAATGTTCTCGGGTGCATGTCCTTATATTTGCCCCGTGCGGCCTTCGCGCCACGTCTGTTTTCACTTTTCATCAAAATACAATTCAATTATACTCTACTTATAAAGAGTTTGTGACTTGACAGTGAACTTTGTTGTTGTCACTAAATAAATACCAGTTTGGCGTCACAATATTTTACTGATTCGACTAAACGTAAGTTACTATCGAGGTTGCTAGGTGACCTCGAAGTATTGTTAGGATCCTAATATGTATTTCAATAAGCTAATCGTTAAGCAATTACGTAAATTTAGTGTCCACACAGATATTATTATTGCAAAATGACATGAACAGAAAAAAATACTGTTTTCCTAGCCTGTGGCATAATACATTGATTGCTAAGTTATCCAGATCGTATCTAGAGGTATATTAAAATAGCACAGAACAATTAAGCGGATTTATACTCGTATAATAATATGCCAAGAAAGATGTATATATTAAAGGTATATATATAATAACTATACGATATTGTTGTTTCTAGCTCGGTCGGGCTCACGAGCAAATAATCCAACCATTGGAAAAGTTCCGCAAGGAGCACATCGGAGCCGTCAAGGTACACCTCTGTAGTTCTAGTTTTTTGAATGTCTATGGCGGTATAGGTAATTTGTCTTTGTTTTGTAGGAGGGAAAGAAAAAATTCGAAAAGAAGACTGCAAAGTTTTGCCAAAGCCAAGAGCGGACACTCTCTTTGTCAACCAAGAAACAGGAGAATGTCTTTCAAGAAGTGAGTCATAAGAAATTCTAAATACGAATCTGACGTCATAGTGAGCAATTACAAATGAATGGGTTTACAGGCCGACGCAGCCATGGAGATGGCCGAAAGAGACTTCTGCCAGGCGTCGCTTGAATATGTGTTCCAGCTGCAGGCCGTGCAGGAACGTGAGAAGTTTGAGCTCGTTGAGACGCTGCTCGGATTCGTGTTTGGATGGTGGACTTTCCACCACACAGCGCACGACGTGCATCACGATGCGGAACCCCTTGTGCGTGACCTGCAACTGCGGATCCAGCGGGTGCGTATGTCACGTCGTATTACACTAAAGGCCCCGTGAACCCAAAGTTCCCCACTTATCGAGTTTTATCTCGTCGCAGGTTCTTGAGCGTCGCGAGCGCCGTTCCTCAGAACGATCGTAGGTGAATCGCGTGTTCTTATAACTTACTAATACCGATAGTGTGCGATTGCGAGCATGATGTAACAGGAATTTTTTGTGTGTCGTTTGTGGCTACATAACATAGTGTTCGCTCTAAGCGCAAACTTTTCGCTGAAACATTTATATGTTCGCAGACTCGGAGTAACTTCGAGGAGACGAGCAAGCAGACCGAGTCGTTAATGAAGAAGATGATGGAGATGCGACAAATGGTAAGTTTATTGGTTATTGGCCGCAGATAAGGCAAAGCTTTTCGTAAACCGTAAATTGTAACGTTTTGGTCGCAGCACAAAGAGGAGGCGCTCGAGGAGAGCGGCGCACGAAATGGATACCTATTCCTTATGGAGAAGAAAGCGTTCGGTACAACGTGGAGCAAGCACTACTGCACCTACGAACGCACGTCGCGGCTCTTCTCGTTGCTGCCCTACAATCAAATCAATCCCAAGTCGGTCGGGAGCGTGGAAAGCGTGGTGGTAGCGGGCGCGAGAGCAGCGGACGCCTCGCTCGAACGCCGGTTCTGCTGGGAAGCGGTACCGGCCGACCGCGAGCGCGCCGCGCTTACTCTGCAGGCGCTCAGCGAGAGGGACCGATCACGCTGGCTGCGCACGCTGCACAGTCTGCCGCCGGCGCACGCACAAACACCCGCTCCCCCGCCCCAACCTGACCCTGCGCTCGCCTGGGGGCTCGATGACGCAGGCTTTTCTTTCGTACGTCGCATCATCGCCACACTAGAAGCGCGTGGGCTCGAGGAGCAAGGCCTGTACAGGGTCGCAGGTGTGTCCTCGAAGGTGTCGCGGCTCGTAGCGTTGGGGCGCGAACGGCGTCTGCCCGCTGTACTGGCGCCTCTAGAGTGGGAGAGCCGCACGCTAACGTCCGCTCTGAAGGCCTATCTGCGAGCGCTGCCCGAACCGCTGTTGACGTGGCGCCTTCACCACCGATTCCTGGCCGCGGCAAAGTGCGAGGCGCGCGGGGAGCGAGTGCGCGCCCTGCATTCGCTCGTGCACGCGCTCCCTCCCGATAATCGTGAAATGTTGCGAATGCTGCTGGCTCACTTGCGGCGTGTGGCGGCACGTAGCCGCGTCAACCTGATGGGCGCTTGCAACCTGGCCGTGTGCTTTGGTCCGACGTTGCTGCGTGCCGAGCGTGAAACCGTCGCCTCCATCCTTGACCTTAAGTTTTACAACGTCCTCGTGGAGGCGCTCATCGACCACTCGCCGGAGCTCTTCGATCCGACGCCGCCGCCCCCGCCTCCGCCTCATTCCGCGGACCAATCTACCCCGACCGACGCCCTGCACCTGTAAGTGTTGTTTCATTTTGAAGACGATTTTTTACGATATTAATCATTATTGATAATAATTTCTTAATATATTTATGTTAACGCTTAAATTTATCCCAAAAACAAAATTCCATAAAGTAGAAGATACAAGGAAATTGTCATGGAAACCAATTGATATCTATTTACTGAAAACAAAATTTACATTCTTTTTTGGTCAAGTGTGAGTTGGCAACAATAATGAATTATTTAAATTTCGAAATACATTTTATTAAAGTTGACTAATTTCTGTTGCTCACATTTTTTCTTCCAATTCAAATATTTATATTCTTTCAAATATTTTAGCTACAGTGCAAAGTTTGGAAATGGGTCATTATCACTGAGTAACATAGACTATACTTAGTACTACATTACGATAGCAATCTTTAGAAATTTCTTTTAAAAGCAGCGGGATGTGTAAAAAAATTGCCATAAAATGTCTTTCATTGCATTGCAGAGTATTAATGATAGGACAAAAAAATGTTCGAAAATATTATAGAATATATCAATATCTACATAAAACATCCTATTATATAACTTTTGTTTAACTATTGTAGTTACGTCACTATAACTACTTTTTTACATTAAACAAATTGATAGAAATGCCGAACAAAATCAAACCGTGTTATCCATACCGTTTATAAATTTTTATTCAAATAAATAATTTAATATTCTAGACTCTCTCAATATCTGATAATTATTGAAAGCGGACATTCCGTTCAAAAGATATCATGAAATTAAAATAAAAATACATGCCGGCGGCAGCCGCCACGCCTCGCATCGAGTAACTAATTCGACGTTAGAGGAGCAGTGGGCTCCTTATGCAGGGGGCGCGAACGACATTGAATATTTCGATTTTTTTTTCACATTTTTATGCTTCACATAAAACGTTATTTTCAGAGGAATCACACATTCAATAATATTTGTCAAAGTTCTTTTTAGAACTTATCCTTTCAAACTTGAATATTTCCTTTTCTGTTATTACTAGTTTATACCTAATTTTTCTGATTTAAAATAAATATCCTTCATAGCAATATGCCTAGAATAAGAAGGCAGCTATCTAAGAATAAAGTTTGTCGTATTGGAGAGTCTTCTTCTGAAAATGATTGTCTGGAAAGTATTAGAGTGTACGCGTCCCAATCGCGAGCCAGAGAATCTATCGTCGTACGTTCTGGTTCGTTTTGCAGAACAAAATGCAAGATCGTCGCAGCTATACGAATGACAGTCAAGCGCCGAGCGCTCGCAGCGACTTGAAGGAAATAAGGAAAAGGAGCTAGGATTTCGCGAACGTGTGCACGGGACACAGCTAGACAGACAACGGTCGTTAACAGCTAGGACGCGCAATACAATTTTTTTCTAATTTAGTGATTCATGGTCGTTTTAATTAGCATGCTTATAATTTAAATATCTGTATACCCATATACATATGTATACCCGTGCGAAGCCGGGACGGGCCGCTAGTGTGGTATATGTATAATATACAATATTCATTCATTGCTCTATCGTTCGCTAATATCACATGTGTATAAAAGAAAATTACCATTTATAAATATGTACTTGTAAAATGGTTGTGCAGTACAGTAGTCTCATCAAAACCTAATTAAAATAAAACAATTTTAGATGTTGTTAGAAAAATTAAAATGACATCCGTCGACATATTTCTTTATCCCGCGCTGGCGGTCCACTCTCTGTCCGTCTTACTTTTAATCAGATATTTTGTTCTGATGCCGCTAAAGATTTTATTAAAAAAAAAACAAGAGAAAGCTTCGATACTGACATACATATGTGTTTAAATATCTTAGGAGTCTCTCCTTTCTGTTAAAATATAAGCAATGCTCGCTACTGTCACAGAGAATCCTTTAAAGAAAGGAACATCTGTTTTATTATCAACTGACAGCTGGGTGCTCGCGCGGATTCACAAAAACGGAGCCCCTGAGGCCTATTGTACGGCGTCGCACACGTTGCGTTCTCGAAAGGACACGAAACATCGTTTATTATTCAATTGATTCAGGGCCTTAATTAAACATTAACTAACGCTACACTTCGTAGCACTAAACTTCACTATAGGTGGTTGAATGTTATTTGATTTTCTACATTTGCGTATGACAAAAAGCGATTGAAGACGGGGTGCGACAGGTGCACATTCCAATCGGCAGCTGCACATCTCCGCGGCAGATGTGCGCCTCACGCGACACACCTACCCATCCGCCGCTTACCTTAATTCATCTTTCTTATAACGTTACTAGTCAGTCCTTATCTTTCTTTTTATATTTATTAAAAATATGTTTTCTAAAATATATTACGTAGCGTGCCATAGCAGCCCATAATTGGGTCTACTACAATTTAAGTTCATACCTTTGAGAATTTTGTATTGGTGCTGTTACTGTTAAAATGTCGGTTTGTAATTAATAAATAATAAAGCTAGTGAAAACAATAATAATATATTAACCTAGTAAACTTTCGGTCTTTTTACATCTACCGCAAGAAGGTTATTATTGGGATTGTAATATTTTATCAAAACAATTTCCGTTGTTATCAAATTATATTAAGAACGTGCCCTAGCGTATAGAGGAGGATATGTAAAAAAATAAGTGTCACGCCAGGTGCGAGTAGCAACAAGGCAATCACGATAGAGCTCGATGGCCACCTGCGCTCGCGCAATGCAGTGCGCAGGTAAGTGCGGCTCGAAGCCGTAGTAAGCGCGGCCTGTATATATTCCGCTTCGCGCGGCCGCTGGGCTCAGTTTCGTGCGGCTCTTGGCCTAGTCGTTGTCTAGTTCGTGCAAAGTGATACGTGAAAACATGATTATCTGCCTCTCTGGATTTGTTATTGCCGGGTTCGTACTTACACAATATACCTCATGTCTTTTAATATGAAGATATATTACTTAACCTTTATTTTTCATTGATAAAGTGACAGTTAGAAAAAACTAATAATGTAGTGCCTATAATAAACCTCTTTTATTCTATTCCTATCAGCTGTGGGTTTGTAGATTTTCCAATCCCTCGTACATAACTAGAGTTTTAAGTGACGAGATTAAGATGTCATTGTATAATTATAGGAGCAGCCCTCTTCCGGGACCAGGCGCTGGCACCTTCTCGCCGCACCATCACCAACTGCTACAGCAGTTCGGACCGGGACCGTTAGTGGCGCGGTCGGGCAAAGGTCTCGGCGCCGCACAGTGTAGCAGCAGTTCAGAGTCCGTTTCGAGCCCCAGCGCATCTCCGCCACCGAGATCCTGGCGCGGGGCAAGTCGCGTGAGAACCTTGTATGCGTGCCTCGGCGAGAGCGAGGGCGAGCTATCTTTTGAGCCGAACCAGATCATCACGAACGTAACGGTGTCGGGCGAGCCGGGATGGCTGCGGGGCTCGCTCGACGGCAAATGCGGCCTCGTGCCCGAGAACTATGTGGAGCCGCTACCGTGAGCGAGGACGTCCAGCTCCTGGTTGGGGAGCCCTTTCGAACCTACACACGTCAAAAGACGTCGCGCTACGCCCTCCGAGTTGTAGTAGTTGCCTTTGTATACATTTTGAACGTTGTAAATAAGATTTTTCTATTCTATTTATGCTGTATTATAATTGAGGCGGTCGTATGTTGTGACTTTTGTACCAAATATACTTTGTTATGATTCCTACTTCGGATGTTGTATAATAAGATGTTATAATATATTATTACTCTATTATATTTTGTGTAATTTTTCTTCACTCCTTCACTATATTCCTACGATCATATAACGCATTAAGGGTTTGAAAGGAATTATACTATGTGTATACTTCAATGAAAGACACAGATTTGCCAATAAGAGTCCAATATTGAAATTAACGATTATCAGAAAGTGACATATTAGTTCTCGGTACGATTAAATAATTTGTAATAAATATTGTTTTGGTGCCATTTTGACTCTGTAAAAATGCTGGCTATAGTTGTGTACATAAGAAAAAACTTATAAGCACTTAAATTGTTGTATTTAATACACATATAACTATGACCAAATCACGTTAGTATAACCATATAACACATGCAGAAGATGTAAGACTCAATGACCGTACATCCCGCTCGTCAGTGGTTACTATTTTTAAATTTAAATTTTCCCAAGGATCAGAAAACAACAGTGCGAGCCTTGCCCGCTGCTTTTTTTGATTCACTTATATTTAAGTAAACTATACATAAAACCAAATGGCTGACGCGAAATCCACGGTTATTAAACCATACAAAAGGCGTGCTACAAAGGCACTACTAGAGTGCATGTCCATTTAAAAACAAAAGGTAAGGTAAAAGTGAAAGCGAACGGTACCTGGGATTATGAAAAACTGACAGGGAAAGCTCGCTAAATACATTTATACAAAGCTAAATAGAGTATCAAATGGGTTCGGCCTGGTCTAGCTGCGCTCGGGCACATCCTCATCATCGCGGTCGAGCAGGTGTCGGACGCGCGCGCAATCGGCGATGGCGGGGGGAGCCGCTCCCGCAACAGAGACACCTCCGCGCTCTCCAGCCAAGCGTTCCAGCCGATGCGCTTCTCCCGCCCGGACGACACGCAGCAGTGCTCCGTACTTGTCCTGCAAGGCGCGCAGTCGCGTGGCGTGCTCCTCCGCCGCGTGTCGCGCCACCCTTTTGGTTTCTAGAACGGCAGCTTCGCGTACGGCCAAAGCGTTTTCGAGCTCATGAGCGCGCGCGGCGGCCGCCTCTGCGCGAGCGCAAGCGGCTTCGGCTTCGCTTTCGGCCCGCGTCAGGGCCGCCTTTAACGCGCGCTCCTCACCGGCCATTCTCTCCGCTTCGGCAATTCCCGCGGCGCCTCCTCCGCTAGCCGCTGAGCGCACAGCTCCCGTGAGACGCGCCTCCCTCTCGGCGAGCACGAGCAGTTCGCGCCTCAGTCTTCGCACATGCTCGGCGCGTCGTTCTGCAGCGAGAGCGGCGCGAGCGAGGGCCTCAACGTGTCGAGCGGTTTCAAAGGACTCGCCCCGCGAACGGCGCAGCTCGGCCGCATCTAGGGCGCGCTGCGCTTCCGCTTCCTTCAGAGCGGCTTCGGCGCGCAGTTTAGCGGCAGTCTCTTCGGCGAGCGCCATCTCGAGGCGCCTTTCCCGTTCCGCGGCGACGGCAGAAAGACCAGGTGTGACTTGGGGCGGATCGCGGTGTGGTCGCGACGCCAATTCGTCTCGTTCGCGCTGCAGTGCACCAAGGCGATCACGCAGCGCAGAGTACTGTAATTCAAGGATGCGTGTGCGGCGGCAGCGCCCGAGTAAGCGGCGATTACGCTCAGCATGCGCCTCTCGTCTCCATCGTTCATACATAAGCTGGGCGTGCACGAGAGCCAGCTGCTCGGTCAGCTCAGCAGCGCTGGTATCGCGTCTGCCCGTGTATAGCTCCGTTAGGTACTGGTCGAGCCTCTCGCATGGGCCAGCTGCCTCCACAGTCTTCTCATTTGTTATCTGAAATAAAATAAAAAATCATTTGCTTCATTGATATAAGACGATGTATAACAGCGCTAAATAATAGTAATAAAATTTCAAGAGATTTCTTGTCTACTGTGTCCGCCGTGTGTGAAATATAACGCTCATCATCATTGACATCTTGACACAATAACTGAAAAGAAAAAAAAGAAAAACATCTCCATAAACTCTTTATAACTGACTCAAAAGAAGTATATTTTCATATTGATTTGTATATTTGCTTTTTTCTACTTAGTGTGAAGTAAATTTACTGTTTTGTATCAGTAGTTTGGATAGTTACCTCATTTTAGTTGTACATGTGATACTATGAATAACAAACCTGTTTGCGCTCCTCGTCCGGTAGAGCGCGGAAGAAGTCTGCGATTAAGAACTCGTAGGGTTCAGGCCACGTGTCCACGGTTTGCACGGCCGCTTCGCAGGTTCGTACGGCGCGCACGCGCGGCGTACAGGAGTTTGGACGGTGTAAAGAAGTCCCCGCAGTTCGACGGTCACAAGGCTGTGTAGGAGGGGGCGCAGAAATGCGAGGGTCGCGACACACTGGCCCACCCGCTTCGACAGCGCCCCAAGCGCTGTCAGCGCGCGCTCGCTGCGTTAGCTCCAGAACTTCGCGATCTTCGACGTTGAGCGGTTCTAAGTCAGCGGTCGAGGCGCTCGCACGGCTTGGCTCCGGTCGCGGCAGAGCTGCGCCTGACGGAGGGCAAGCACCAAACGGCACCGGCGACTCTGCAGCTCGACGCTCCAGCGCCACACGAGCGAGGCGTCCAACGTAAGCGTCCCCGCCACTAGGTGCAGCTCCAACTGGCGGCGAGCTCTCCTTTCGCAATGGCGACGGCGGCTGGGAGCGTCGTCCTATGGCGCGCACGGCACCTGAATCGCTCGGGAATCGAAACTGGGTGCGGGTTTCCTTCGCAGGTGTGTTCTCTGGGGTCGCCTCGACCGCCGCCTCCGGGGGCTCAACGGGCTCGGGTTCGGCGGGAAGCGGCGTGTTCGGCGCAGATTCCGCCCCGCAGCGATCGACGAGCGGAAACCAGGGTTCGGCGCCAGGGCGAAGGCCAGACGCTGCACGCGCGACATGTGCCCCTGACCCGGGCACCGGGGAGAAAGATGCGGCGGGTTCGAGAGCGGGACAGGAGGCTCGTTCATCTGGCGGATCGCGATGATCACGAGTGCGAGACGACATTCGTCGGGCTTCAGCCAGCACGTCGTGCACTTCGAGGCGTGTCCAGCGAGACGGGTCCGCTTCCCGCTGTCGTGATCCCGTTACAAGGTGTGGATGTAGCCGAACAGAACGAAGTAGCGGCGCGAGAGCGCGCTCGCAAAGATCCCGAGGACCCGCGCCTGTCGCACATTCGGCGCGGAGCATCTCGACCAGCGTGCACGGATAGGTCGCGTAGAGAGCGTGGAATAGCGCCAATTGCGCTAACTGCAAGTGATCGCGGACAGGAGGCGCCGGTGGAGGCTCTAACGCGGCCGGCCGAAGTAACGCATCGGTAAGTTCCGGCCAGTGCGTCGCCGCAAGAGTCGGTTCGGCGGGAAGCAGCGCCGCGAGCGCAAGTAACGCGTGCAATAAGGCAGGAGGGTCACGTTCACGTCTTGCAGCGCGCAGGAGGTCCCTTGACGCTGGGTGTGCCGGGAAGCGATGCAGCCAAACTGGCCGGCGAGCCAGCAAAGGCGCAAGAGCGGCTAGAGCGTGGTGGCGTGATAGTCGCTCGGCGTGAAGCTGTTCGGCGAGTGCGTCGAGAAGGTGGCGTGCGTGCGCGTCGGGCGCTCGAGCCAGAAGTTGGAGGGCGCGCGCGGAGCCAGTACGTGCATGGTACGCGAGAAGACCACGCACAAGCCAGGGTTCGCGAACAGTAGTAAAGAGAGATGCAAAAGTGTCCAAGGCGTCGCGGCCCTCCAGCAGTGCGATTATCTCGCCCGCCTCACATGCTGTCAACATCTCCAATCTCCTGAAATAAATAAAAACCTCTTTGTAATTCAGTCATTCTTTTTATTACTACATTATTCTCAAAAAGTATAAAATATGTATATGTGTTAAGCACAAGAGGGAGTTTGAATCCCCAGAACTTTATTTAAATACCAGCCTCTTCCAAATTTATTACATAATTATTATTTTCTACGGAGGACAGTAATAGAAAGCCTGGTGATCAGTCTATATGTTTGCTAACCACCCATTTTCACTTATTATAAAATGAAATTGTGTGTATTTAACTATGAAATTGGTTTTGTTTTATCTGTTCATTTTATGTCATTTCTTAACATATGCTGCTTATGCTTTCAATTTAATAAGTTCTAAAGTGAGCTCATTTTCCATGGTTCCTTAAGTCATTAAAAATTAAAATTGATCTCAAGATATATCAAGAAATTAACTATAATTAAAATAACAATTCTAATTTATAGATGGATATAAAAAACGCAAACGCTTGTAGATCCACAATTTGAGGTAAAGCCAATGACTTCTATGGTTAATAGAGAATAATTACACTTAACATTAGGTTTTAGTTTAGAAGTGCATGGTGTTACAGACTTAAAAGATTAAAACAACTTTCCCATTCAGTTTGATACATAAAAAGTATAATATAATAATCCCATTCATTAGATAATGAGTTTTAACCAAGCAGAAGCTACACATGGGTGAATCCTATTCACCATCTATTTTTGATAAAGCAAAAGAAAGGTTTTAGTTTGGTAAGTACTGTATAAAAAATTAAAACTTATATGTTTTAGAATAAGCAAGCAGAAAATTTCAATTGGTTTAAAACTAATTAGATATTAAGGATCTTTTAAATTGTATTTAGGTATGGTTTTAAACATACATAAATGAAATGGGATAAGAGGTATCTATATATATATGTGCCTTTTATACCTATTGTAGTAAGTACGTAGTTTTTTATTATAATACTCTTACCGATCGGTTGTTCGGAGAGATGAACCTTCGTTTATCGCAGCTGGAGGAATTTTGAATCGGATATAAGAAACAAGGTAGAGAAAATGTAGCAAATTAATTGCAGTTTCGCCTAAATTCTTGCGTAGTGCCTACGAAGTAGCAATAAAAATTTTGGAAAATCCAAAGTAAAAATACATAAATAATTAGTTAATGATATCTCGATATTTTTTTATAGTTGCTCATAAGATAAAATTAAGTCCTTTTTCTAGAATTTTTGACTTTTATGTTTTAACTTCTAAGTTATAACAGCACCAACAGAGAAAATATTTTGTTACAACTGACAATTGACAAGTTCCATATTACGTTTTTAGAAAATAATTATTGACTAACATTTAAAAGACAATAATAAATTACTGATTAAATATACCCTCATTCCATCCCTTTAATATGCTATTTATTAAACTTATACTCGTATATTATATAAGCTACAATTAGAATTATGATTTTATATGCTATAACTTCTTTTCTGTGGTGGTCAAACATCTGCGGTTAGTTAAATGTATAAAATAAAATTTGCTTGAAATAGACTCAAGTGATTTCAATTAAAAACTTATACCGATCCGATTGTATTTTGTGGAAGAGATGTGTGTAATATTATTTACAAAAGATAAGATCGATAGTATGTCTTAACTAAAGAGCTCAAATTATTTAAAAATAAGTAAAAATTTATAATGCTAAGTTAGTATCCTGGAAAAATAGTCACTATCGATACAGCACAAATTAAAGTCCTAAAGTTACGTATATATTAATAAAATGTTGAGATCCTGTATCTACATTGAAGGACAAATGCTTCGGCGCAATGAATTTACTAAAGCATTCCGTAAGTACTGATTCAAAACATAGGTATAGCGAGGTTAGAAAACATAATTCCTAAATCCTGCTACACATTTTATATTACATACCCGACAACCTTTTTTATAAGTTTTTATTTACAATGACTTTTTGTTATTTATCAAAATAACTGGACTTTCATACTTCTATTGGAAACCCTAAAATAAAATCTTCTTTTGCTAGGTATTTTGGCACAATCAAGTTCCTCACAACCTGATCTGGTAAGTCTATATTTACAACAACAATCTATCATCCAAGGTAGTAGTGTTAAATGCAAATTTACCCAAATTTGCATAGATATTTAAAATCTTGGAATACAATATATATTTCATCATACAACAGAAAACAGTCAAACTACTTTGCACACTGCTTAATCACAAAATTGATCAGTGAAATTAAAGATCAGGATTTCACATACAACTTTTAAAACAAGTTGCATCTAATCTAATGAATAATTTTTGTTTCAAGCCTACCAGGAAATTAAAATCATATAGAACGGTAAATATTTTTAAATGTTTTGTTCTTAGCCTACTCTTGGTGTTTGGCAGGACTGATAAAAAAATTTCCTATCAAAAATTCTTTTGCACAATTGATTATAATCCTGTTGTTTTATTTTTAACTGTTACAGCCTAAATTACTTGGTCAGTCTACGAGTTGAATTCTAACATTACCTATGTACAAAAACAAACTTATGTCTAGATAGAAAAAAAAAGAGAAATAATTTAAAAAATTACATATAACCTTTTTCAATTCATACAATAAACCTAATATCATTTTTTTTGTGAATGTATTTGTAGCATTCTTCTTTACTAGTTAAGTGATAAATTCGAGATTCAATGTAAGCTACGTACACACACTTATAGTCCAGCAAAAAGTTTTGCTCATCTGTTAAATTTTGCTTACAGACAGTTTTGAAGCATGATCCGAGTGTCAGCAGTGGTGTCACATCATCCTCTTCACAATGTACGCCACCGAAGTTTTCACAACCACAGACACCACCGCCTCAACCACCTCGCTCTACCAAATCATTTACTCTTATCACAGCACTGACTTTCACGGCTTCTCTTGGTGGTGTATGTATACAAATTTTTTGGCTACTGTTAATATTAAGTTTATTAAAGAGTAATTTTTTAATACTTTTATACAATCTAAATATTACAATAGTTATATAAATTTCCCTTGGAACTATAACTTAAAATAAATTTCAGGTTTATTTATACAGGAAAATGAAGCAAGATAAAGCACAAGAAGTAACACAGACAGATTCAGGTACGTTTATGCTTTTTTATTTGTTGTGTGGGCACAAATATATTACTTATACAACTACAATTTCTACATAATACAAAGACATGTATGTTCACATTGTACATACTACAACTTATCAACAATGAAATTACATTAAAAACATTATTTACAGACGCCAAGGTCCCCCCTGCTGAAGAGTCGATACCGGCACACTCCAGTGACCTGCCCTCGCACGTCCAATACTTAGTTGTGGGCGGTGGAACGGCTGCCTTTAGTGCGATGCGAGCTATCCGCAGCGCACGACCTGACGCGCAAGTGCTTATGGTGTCGCGAGAGCGCGCGTTGCCTTACATGCGCCCACCACTCAGCAAGGAACTATGGCGTGAACCCAACCTGGCGTCGACCGCTTTGCATCCCGACACGCTTTCCTTCCAGCAGTGGAACGGGCGACGACGCAACTTGCTTTATGAACCTAGCGCCTTTTATACACCTCCTGAAAAACTGCGAGAAACGGCCAGTGGAGCAGGTGTCGCGCGAGGCTGGCTTGTCACAGCCATCGATCCTGAGGCGCACACTGCGCTATTAGAAAACGCCAGCGGAGAACGCGCAACACTTGGATATGACAAGGTGAATTTTATTCATATTTGTCTGCCTCCTTAGCTCAATTAAGTGTAATTGATATGATTCTTGGATTCGAACCTAATAGAAAACCTTGTAAATTAAATTAATATCTGGGCTATACAAGGTACACAGTACTTCCTAAATCATTGATAAGTCTTATTATTCTGCAGTGTCTCATTGCCAGCGGGCTGCGGCCAAAAAGACTGGAGGCAACAAAAGCAGCAACAGAAGCTGGTCGCTCGTTCACCGTTCGCTCGCTTAGTGATGTATCCGAGTTGGCGAAGAGAATAGATGCCCCGGTGGACGGCGCGCCCACTGTGTGCATTGTTGGTGGCGGCTTGCTCGGCGCTGAACTTGCTTCGGTGCTGGCGGACCGGGTACGCGAGCTTGGTGGCCGCGTGGTGCAGCTATTTCGCGAGAACGCGCCGCTCGCCTCACTGCTGCCGCCGTACCTGGCAGGGGAAGCGGCGCGCACTTTGGAGTCACTCGGGGTCACGCTGATGCCGCATTGTGACCTCACTGGAAGCTCGATCGAAGATGGCAAGGTACGACTGACCACGGCAGAGGGAACGTCGCTGCGCGTGGACGTCGTCGTCGAGTGCGTAGGAAGTGAGCCGCAAGTGGAGTTGGCTCGCCGATCGCGCCTCGAGACTCATGACACACTCGGTGGTGTTGTCGTAAATAGCGAGCTGCAAGCGCGAACAGACGTATGGGCGGCGGGAGACGTCGCCTGCTTCTTTGACGAGGCGTTTGGGCGACGGCGTGTCGAGCACCATGACCACGCGGTCGCGTCGGGCCGACTGGCTGGGGAGAACATGGTGGCTTTGCGTAACCCCAAACCCTACACGCATCAAAGCATGTTCTGGAGTGATCTCGGCCCACACCTAGGCTATGAAGCTATAGGACTAATCGATTCTAGTCTGGAGACTGTAGGCGTGTTCTGCGAGGACGCAGTGCGCGACGTCAAGACGGAAGCGGCGGCGGCGGGCGCCAGCGGAGCACCGAGCGTGGCGCCGGCGTCGAGCGAGACCGCTCACGATAATGGAAAGAGATACGACCGCGGCGTCGTGTTCTATCTTCGTGAAAAGCGCGTGGTGGGGGTTTTGCTTTGGAACTTGTTCAACCGGATGCACGTGGCGAGGCAAGTTTTAGCTCGAGGCGAGTTTGACAACCTGCTCGAAGTGGCGAAGTTGTTCTCATTGCACGAAGACGAATAGCCTATGTTGTTAAAGATAATATAACTGTTGAATTAATCTATCTATATCATTTATTTCCTAATTCTTCAAATACAGAGCTTAATTAACTCTGATTTTAATTCTAGAGTTTTTAATCTATGTCAGTTGTAGCCATTCCGTTGAGTAAGCATATTCTCTTGTCTTGTATTAATGCACGCAGTCGCATTTTAACTATTTATACAACTACTCACATATTCACCTCCTCCTACCTACACTCCTGAGTCTCATTTTACTCCTTGCCAGTAAGATTGGCAAATCAGTCACACAATTTACTGGAAAAATGACTTTCACAATGATAGTAGTTTGTATTTATTTATGATTTAATATATAATCAAATTGTCATTACCTATACATTTATATATCATTATAAATATTTTATAGTTATATAATGATAATTTAATTTTTCGATCCTATTATCATTACTTTTATTCCTATGTCTGTAGTATCTAGTGTTTACTAGATGCGTAAATATCGTTATTTGCGTTAATGAACTTGTTCTTGAGTATCTTCTTTTAAAGATCATTTAGTATCAAAAAAGAAAGTAAATTAGAGTAACTAAAAAGGAACGTTGGCAGTGGTCAACTTACGTCAGTAAAGTTACAGCAGGTTAAGCTTCAAAAAACTTCCCATTTATAAAAACTACTTAAAATTCACAACAACATTAAATAACTCTCTCAAATTACTACAAAAGGACGCTATTTAGTAGCAAGATATACTTCAATTGATAATGTAGGCACGACAAAGTATGAACGTTGAGTAAATGTTGTGTCGTCCCCGCTACGTCGAAGTGGTAGAATGTATATAGGAAATAACATTCCCAATAAGAAAACTCATTGAACTTAATTTCAACGATGTCTGTTTATTTATGTCACTTATACTTACAATAAAATATCATAATATTTACAGTGAGGCAGTAACAGTGTTAACGAATGAAACTCACAAGCAAAGTACCATTCCCTACGCCCCCTTCGCCGCGCAGGGTAGCGGGGGAAACGGAACTTTGATCCAGTCAACTTATTTACAGGTCTCCGTCGATCGCATCGACGTCAAAGGACGAGGAAGAAAAGCCCAATATGTTAAACAAAATTAATTAAGCCGGTTTTCTTCCCTGTCGTTACACCTTCCCACCCTTAGTTACAAATATACATAGAGGTAAACAACAAAATCATGACAACACTCTCAAACATTTTTAGTAAGAAACAATCAGTATGATAACTTCGGACTTCGGACTTTATAACATTAAATGAATCGAAAAATGTATTACAGTTAAAAGTTGAATATTCACCTTCTCCGTTAAGAAAACACTCAAGAGCGTTCATAAGAAAGCCGATTATTTATGAGCGAAGTTTTCTATCAAAACCCTGACGAGAGAAAAAAAACGTCATATGACGAGCTAGTTCATTTCGCAACAAAACCACTCATTCGCACATCGTCCGTACAAGTTGCGTATAAGTTCTAACTTCAAGATTAGGTCAATATTCATAATAGAATCTTATCGACTATATTTTTATTATTAATTTAGTAGTAGTATTTACAATGTTTTTACAATAACTCAATTCGTCTGAGACTCGGGCGTTCGATTGCAGAAAACACGTCGAGTCACCCGCACAGATACCTTCTTTAAGACGGTTTGTCTCGGACTGTAATATTATTATACATATTTATGATAGTAATGATTCATAATCTTCGAAATTCGATTACACTATTATTTACACATCACATTGCGGCTCAAGAATCGTGACTTCATTCCTTATGTGAAAGACTCCACGTAGGGGAGCCCGGTGGGGAGGACGAAACAGATACTATCCGCTATTTCGGCCCGTCTTCATCGTGGCACAAGATCCTAAAATTTGTGTTGTATGCATTAATAAATATATGTATTACATAACATCCCAAAAATGTCTCCTCAAACATAATGTTTACTCACAGCGCGAACAGCACAGCGAAACCACGGAGGCCCCTGCCCGGGCCCGCGCCCCCGTTTGTCGTAAGCCACGAACTCAAGGCACCCCAGAGCGCATAAAGAGCTCCGAACGCGAGTAACGGGCGGCTAGGGGATGCGGGCCCCGCGGCGTTGCCGTGCTGCATCGCCGCCGGTTGTTCACCTGGAAAGGGAGACTCGTTTTGAGCGAACCGTATTCTTTGGGACAGAGTTTGAAATGGCTGGACTTACCGCTCAGCACGTGTAAAACGACGGAGGCGGAGGCCAGGTTGGAGGGAGCGCAGGAATAGTTGCCAGAGTCCTCTCGCACGGGGTGGTGCAGCACGAGGTGGCCCACAGTGGTATCGGGCCCGGTGCGTTCGACGCGGATGTCGCGCAGCCCTCGTCGGTAACCGAGCACGCGCCGCTCGTTGTGGTACCAGAAGATGTAGGCGGGCTCCTCGAGGGCCTGCGTGATCACGCAGCGCAGGCTCACTGTGCTGCCGGCTTTTACGTAGATCTCGCTCTCACCAGCGATCTCGATCTTGGGCACTGAAACGTACCGCCATAAATATTTAGATTTTTTTTTCTATACGTTGAGATATGTTTATATACAATAAAATATATAAATAAGTAAAGGCAACCGCTTTTAATATCACAATACTTGCATAGGAACACAGGGTACAAAAATATAACATCATTTAGATCAACGTAGTCGTCTTTTCTTTATAATATAGCATCCACAATGCAGACATTTTCTAAAGGTGGAACGTAAAGACATAGGAAGGTGTTGAGGTTGACATTACATTGCGCGACAGGTGCATGTAGCTAAATTGGTTAGAGCAGCAGCACGGATCGCTGTGGATGCCGGTTGGATTCCCGCCCGTGTAGTAAAATAAATACAGAATTATTATTAATCATTCAGACTCTTACCCACTACGTTGAGCTGCACGAAATGGCTCATCTTGGGCTCGGTGCCGACCTGGCACTCGTAGAGACCGGCGTCCCTCGCCTGCACATACTTGACCTGCAGGGTCCATGTGTCCGTCGCCTCCACGAGGAAGGCCTGGAAGCGCTCGTCCGCTATGAACGTAAACCGGTCCACAGTCAGGATGTGCGCATCGCGCCGTCGGATCCAGGACACGGACTTGTTGCTCAGCTGGCGCACCTTACACGGCAGGTAGGCGTGAGTACCGAGTTGCGCCGTGACGTTGTTCGGCGCCGAGGGGTCGAAGTAGGGCCCCGTGTACAGCCCCACATATCTTCGCGCCCGCGCCCCTCCCCCCTCCCTCCCGCCCGTTCGTCTCACCGCACGACAACACTGAAACCGCACGAAACAAGATATTAGTTTTTATTTCGAAATTAAATTGTTGTAGTTATACATATACTAGAAATGAGATGAGTACATTGCTTATAACATTGCGTTCAAGACAATAATGTATACGACTTTAAATTAAAAATCTATTATAAATTGAAAAGCTAAGTCAATTGGTTAGAGCAACAGCAGTGATCGCTGTGGATGCCAGTTCAAGTCCTGCCCGAGTCGTAACTTTTTCAATTCATAATCAATTTTTAATTTATATAGATAGCGCCACCATGTGCATAACCTGTGTAAAATATTGAAAAATAACCAATCACACATCAGTTACAATACTTAACAATCTGATCTTATTATTATAATTCATAATAATATTTTATACATTCAGAAAATGTGGCCGTTTTACACAGTAATTAATAGCTCGTATCTGGTGAAATGTAATTAACGAGACAAGGGTAGTTTGAGTGGGTGCAGCAGAGCTCTGGTTTGTGGGGAAGCAGCGGCGGACGAGTTAGGAGATCAGAATGGTTAAACAGCTTCGATAAATCTCCGAGTTGCTGTGGTCTGCGGCGAAATGTATTTCAGAATATTACTCGCAACCGACGAAGAACGTAATAATTCAATCTATTTTATAACAAGCTTTGCGCGCGACTTCACCTGCACCTAGGGGCTTTACGCGTGATTTAACGTTGAAATTATTCAAAACAAAATTAGTGTTTATCGTGCGTTACACGAAATTTTAAATAATTTATTTATTATAACTACCTTTGACTTTACTACTGGGGATTTTGGCTTAACCAACTCACACTGTGACCCCTTTAAGCCTTCCGGTTTGCTTGCAAAATCTTATCATTTGTTCTATCTTTAATTCTTTGATCAGTTATATTCCTACCGGTAGTAATAATAGCGGACAGTCTTGTGAGCCTGTACGAATGCACTCGGTCGTCGTAAGAGGAAATCGCGTCCGCCACGGCTCCCCTCCCCCACGACCTACTTTCGATAGAAAACGCATCTAGCTTCTCCGAGTCGGGCCTCGGTAGATGGCTATTTAGCCTTGTGTGCTTTTAATTAGGCCACAGGTTGGCAGTTCTCAAACCAAACTCCATGTTTGTTACGATTTCTATCATTTTAGAAGTCATTCGCATACTGTCTGTAGTTTACGCGAGTAGTACACATTTAAATAAAACGCTTTAACGGTTTAAAACACGGTAAAGTCAGAGACACCATCCATCTTTAGCCTCCCCGTGACCGGGGCTGCTGCGAAGCATGCGAAACGTCGGGCTATACTCAAAATATTTTTCAAAAAAGGTTAACTAATATATATCGAGTTTTAAACCGTTAAAGTGTTTCATTTTAAAAAGTCATTCGCATTTTCGCTGTACTCGTAAGCGATACAATATTTCTATATTAGTTGGCGAGACGTCCAGCCAAGTTTAATTACTTCATCAGCTTTAGCTACAACACAACTCCCTTTTATTTGGGACTTTTAGACGCTACAGCGAGGTAATAATTCCGTCAACTAATTAATTGCGTTTAAACGGTTTACAGATCTCAGAAGTAAATTAAAACTTTTCTCATCTCGGCTCGAATAGTGCCTTGAACGGATGTTGGCGGTATAGAGGCAGGGCTCCGGTCGCCGTTTACGTAACGGGGCTGCAGTGCCTTCGCTGCGATATTTCTCTTCCGATCCAGCGAGCGCCTATCTATTCATCGGGCTATATGCGCCACTAACCCTGCGCCACTGCCGCTTAAATAACCTCGGACGGAAACGGAATCGACGCGTTACTGACCAAACTAAGGAGAACCTTATTTTTTATTTAATAAGATTACTACATGCTACTCATATAAAGATAGATTAACTATTAAAAAGGATATTGTTATTTAACTATTTTAGTTTAGGACTGTCGAAAATTGTAAAATTAAAAATAAACACAATAATGACGCAATAAATCAATTATGTTTGTAAAAATGTATAAAATAATACTCAACTCATTTCACTAACAATTTAGACGACAAAAATTATATTTTTGATAATTACAATATTGCAAAACATGACTTTTGTAATGATGGATGAATTGAATGGTTATTAAAGGCGTTAGTAATAATTGATATGAAGGCATCCATATTTTAATCCTTTTGTTCACAGCAAGGGTAAAAAAGGTCGAAAATCCTTTGTTCATTCTTAGTTATGTTAAGATTAGACTCATTCTACATTTCGCTTAATGCATACCTACAATAAAGTTTTCGTGTGAGTGGTACGGTAGTTAAGAAATAACAAGGTTGGGGCATAATATAAAATAGTTTTAAGTTAAGCGAATGTGCACCGCAGTGAGCCGCTGCTATATAAATTCCCTCTTTAATTTATCGTCCGCGGATTACTCGTACTCGCTACGTAGAGCTCCACGCGCTACGGCGGAGATACCACGGGTAGGTTAGCTTAAAATTGTGTTTTTCAAATATTCTATTATAAACTGTTCCAGTTATGTACAATTGTTGTTTTTTATCATTCTTTACGAATTTTTATCATACGTTACAATTTTAATGACATATAAGACATGTGACACTTATATAAATGTGTATTTAATAAAAAAAGATACATCTAGTATTACGTTACTAGGATAAAGCGAATAAAAACATTTTTGTTTCGTACGATCTACATGCGAATACACAATTCTGTATCCGACGTTCTCCGACGAGCGAACAAGTAAATATGTAAAGGTTTTTTACTTTTCCCAAAATAACTTTGTTGTAAACCATAGACAGTAGGAGTCTATGGTTTACGCGAGTAGTAGACGTTTAAACTTTAACGGTTTAAAAAGCGATATGTTAGTTAAACTTATTTGAAAATGATTTTTAGCTTCGGCCTGACGTTTGCCCCGTGACTACGGCTGCTGCAAAGCATCCGAAACGTCGGGCCGAATATATCGCGTCTTAAACCGTTAAAGTGTTTTATTTAAATTTGTTGTATCCTAATAGATTAAAATCTTTTATACTTTCCAGAAAAAGAGTGAACGTGTTTCTTCACCTGTAATGGTTTACTATTTAGAAAGTCTCATACTCCACAATTGATTACCTACAATTCCTGTTTGTTGTTAACATAAATGCTTATCTTTCTTTTTATCGCTGTGCACAATAAAAATGTAATCGAAATACTAAAAGAAATACCATCGTAAGTAATAGGACGTAAAAAGTTGGCGTGTTACGACTGAAGAGCATTTTTAACGATCTGAATAATTGTAAAATTGTATTGTAGTAAGTACATAACTGCAGTCAGACACGCTACGCCGTACCTCAGTTCGCAATATTAACAACAAATTGCCTCCAATTAGTATGGAAATAACACGTGTCTTTTTACTAAGTCATCTAGAATAGCTTACGAATTCACAACTATCGCCGAAAACATCGTTAACATTAATAGAGCTGTCAATTTATTAAATTGTATAATGTTTGCGTAACAAATTACCCTGGTCTACTTATACTTAGTTCAGAGTAACGAAATTGTACGATGTCTGAGCACGAAATGCGAAAGGGACCTATTACGGCCTGTGTGTTGGTTCTAGCAAAAATGTTGTTCTAAAAGATTATAGTCTTGAATGTTTTAACGATTATTATACGTCTACAATAAAACGTATATCAACTCACCTTGTTAAAGAAGATTTAATATTATATCTTATTCGTCAATCCTTACATACTCCTTTATAATCGCGTAATTAAATCTATGCATTGGTTACGACTTCGTGCTTTTATTAATAGAAATAAGTTTCTCTTCGCGTTTTTCAAGTTACAAAAAAAAAATAGAACGCCGTAATTTGAGTTTATTGCCTTTTATAAAGTTTGCCATACTGACAATACATCGTGTATTCTTAGAGGTAGAAGAGACTCAGCGTGCTGAAAGAAGAAAGCCATTTGGCTCGCGATCGAGTCCTACCTCGTAAAGCGACATTATGTAACGCATCAATTTTATTTATACCGTCCATTAGAGCGGCTGTTTAATGTTTATTATCTTCTCTGCGCGAAGTTCGGCCGAAGTCGCTTCATAAAACGAAAAGAATTGCACCAAGGACAAACTGAATCCACTATCAGACAGTTCTTCTGCGATTCGACTTAAATCTACCTCACTTACAATTTTACTGCCATGTAAAGTTTTATATATAATGTCCCAGCTGTGTTATCGACTTCGTCTGTGTAGGTTTTTTGGGCATCCAAATTTGTACTTTTGTATTGTAATACTTAGACTTAAGGCCTTACCCACCAATTTTAAAAGATAGACATATAGAAAGAGGAATCATACTTTCACATATATTTTTTGGGTTTCTTGAACAGTTTTTGCAGCGTCCGCCACAATAAAAAATAATATTCCTCATTTTTTTACAATTTCCCCTATTTCTTCGATGCTTTTTTAATTCAATTCAGTCGTTCCAGAGATTAAACAAACAAACGTTCAAACAAAGAAACAAACTCTTCACTTTTAGATATTATTATAGATAAATAGTATAATAAAGATGACAATTATATTTATGCGCAATACAAATACGATTTTTGAATTCTAAACAAACATTTTCTTTATACTTTTATACGAGATTTCTCCGTCCTTAGAGAGTACAAGACTCGGGGGGGTACACCTCCAAGGTAAAGGCGCGCTTGTAATTCAAGCGCTCTTTTTGAGTCACGCTTCGGAATATACGAAATGGCGGTACTCCGGTTTGACAAAATTGAAAATAGTTTCCGAATGAAATGTCGCTGCTTCTGTGGTCTTCAATCTCTGTTCGCCTTCTCCATAGTAAATTTGGAACCGTATTTTATCTCATATTACTTATTTATATACGTTATATGAAATCAAATTACCCTAATTTGTACAGTAATGGCAACGAATTTTCTAGAGGATTCCTCAAAGAAACAATGCCTTTGTTTTTAACACGTATGAAGCGAAAATGAAAGGTAGAATGAATGGAAGATACAGTATTAAAATAACAGGTTAAATGGCAGCAAACCTTTGAAGTATTTTGAGAATAGGAAGGTCAGAGGTGCCAATCGTAAAATTAGTAGCGAACAGAGCGGAGGACGATACACATGATCGCTTTGCTTTTCCACCTGACCTGCTCGTGTCGTATTTGTTTACGCTCGCTGCCTCAACCGGCGCGACTCCTATATTTATGTAACACACGGTGGAAGCGGATTTCGCTACGGGTTTTTTAATTGAAGCCAATGAAAAAGGAGCGCCCATTGTATTTGCATTGAAATTAAAACTTACAAGTATTCAAACATAGTCGTTCGAAGACTTAGCTATTGAGATTTCTCTAGGCGCACGTTATTAAGTGAACAACTGGATAATAAGTTTGGGCTGCATAAAAAAAAACATTCTTATTTCTATATTAAATGGTAGAAAATACAAAATTGTCTTGTACTAAGTTTAGGGATTTTTTTGGTGCCTGTTTTGATATTAAAAAATCGACAAGAACACGTTTGGTGTATCTCTAGTGACATAGGTACTTGTATTTATGAGAACTTATTGTTCGTTACATATTAACAAGTAATATTAAAATAGAACACAACTCATAACTGTTTTATTAAAACGTTAAATTAACCAATCAACAACATGCTTAATTGGCATCAAATTTGTGAGCCGAATTGAACTAACACGTAAAATTACCGCGGTATTATATTTTGTTGATTAATTTAGTCCAACGTAGCGAGGATATTAATAATTAAATTTATTAATTACTTCAATGACGTTTATAATACTGTTGTATACTAGTGTATATAAGTACAAGATGCACGTCGCAGTTGACACAATGATTCGAGACCAGACAACGCTCCCAGATTCAATAATGAAAAGAATCTCTCCCCTCAATTAAGCACAGTCGATCCGTATTCGTAGCGAGTACACAAACAAATGCAAACAGACAGGGAAGGGACAATTAGAGGCTACAAGACGTCTCCCCTGCAATCTGCCTCTCTCACCGCGGCCCGTGGAGACAATAGTGAATGTTGTATCCACGGGATGCAACGAACGGTGCTCTAAATATAAACACAAACTATCTTGTTGCCTTTCATGTTGTATGTTTACTCAAACTAACATTAAATAATAAACAATCGGGTAAAACGCGATATTTATTAGTTAAATTTATTTAAAAATTATTTTTATACACGGTTTTCCCGTGACCACCGCTGCTACTACTTCTTACCTACGGCATCCGAAACGTCGAGCCGTACTTGCAAATAAAAAAAAATCAAACAAGTTTAACTAATATATATCGCGTTCGAAATCGTTAGTGTTTTGTTAAAATATGTAATACTCGCGTAAGCAGTATTTAATTACGTTATTTTTTATGACCTAAGAATAAGCATAAAAATTTAGTACGCTTGTGTTTTGCGACAGTGAAATTTGCAAACAAAGTTTATTTATTTCGGTATGTCGACCACATAATACTCCAAAGCTGAATTCCATTATATTGTATAGAAATATATATTTGAAATCAATGAAATATGTAGATATGCAGCGTCGAACCAACGCGTACGCGACCAGACCAATAAAATTCCGCCCTTTGAGAGATTTTGAAGCGAGCACAACCACGCTCTACGCACCTATGAATGTGCATCGTAAAATAATAATTTATTGATCTACTGATCGACAACCTAACCATGACTTGGAAGAAATAGATATTAATGTTTATAATATATGTGAAAAATAAATAAAAATATATTAAATATTGCCCATTGCTCTCCATTCTAGTATATAAGTTTAATTTGTATCATTATTATGTTTTGTGCAATAAAGAATTATCAATAAATAATTTAGTGTAGGAAGCAAATTAAATTTTAATACCAAAAGATGCAGTTTAATTTTAAAAATATAATAAACATTTAAAAACATTAATATTTTTTACATGTTATTGGACATATAAAAAATATTAATGGTATATGGTAAAAAATTAAAAATCGATTATCGTCCTATCGGAGTCGTAAACTTTTTGAATGTATAATCAATTTTTTAATTTAAAGCTAACATTCTACATATATACTTTATTATATTTACTTTCAGGATAGTAGCGCAACATTTTGGCAAGTCACAAACATTATATCTGTACTTATTTTATATATCTATAAAAACATTTTCAGTGTATTGAAAGGTACGTTATAACTTAGTGTATGTAGACTTGACACATTTGAAGTGCAGTAATTGGCACAGGATATCTGTACGCTGCTATTGTATAACCTCTCCACCCTACGAAGCGTCAAGTGCATGAAGGTACTTCGGTTTAGAATAAAACAGCCACCCTGTCCCAAATACTTATCAAACAATCTAACACATTAATCGAGCGTATTTATACAATGATTTAGTACAAACAGAATTAACCGCTGTGTTTCGGCATGAAAACTAATTATGTAAAACAGCAATCAGGGTAGAGTGAAACGGTAAATAATTATAATAAAGTCGTAACAATTAGAAACGTTACGAGCTGGAATCACGAACTCGTAGAACCCAGAGACCATTCTCCCAGGTCGTCTATCTATACTACCATATAAAACTGATGAATTTGTTTGTTTGAACGCGCTAATCAGAATTAGGAATTGGTTTTTTTTTTGTTTAGTCAGCCTTCCTCGATAAATGCGTCGTAACGAATAGAAGCGAAGAAACAGCGGAAAATGTGAAGAAATCGGGGAGAGTTATTTATTTTTCTGGGTTACCTTTAACTAGGCTCCGAAAACGGTTCAAGATACCCAAAAAATATGTAGGAAAGATTCATTTTTCTTTAAATGATCGAGCAACAGAACGCGACCGTCGTAAGCAATAGCTTAAATCTATAAAGATGAATAGGAGGTTTGCAGAAACAAAATAACTATTCTACACGAAGTCGTTGACACGGCTAGTATGTTTCAATGAATAAAACAGTTGAGGGTCATAATATCGAGTGATATCCAGGTATTGAACAGGATAAGCATTAATTTAGATGAAACAGGATCTCTGCTGAGAGAGACAATCGATAGCTAATTGCGATTCAATTATCAGGAGAGCATCAATATTGCAACGTAATGTATTCAGTATTCAGTGACGAACATAAGCCGGCCCGTTAGCCAGTTAGCGTCACACGTCATGTGTTTACAGTACAGTACACAGAGAGTAGCTATGGGTATATTAAAAATACATTATTTGGAAAACTAAACATGGTTAATAGAGGCACCAGATCGATAAAGATCTGATGTATATATAATTCTAGTGTCACGTTGTTAGTTACAGTACTCCTTTGAAACAGCTCGACTGATTTTATACGAAGTTTTATACGCATAAGTAGTAGCTCTGAGAAGTGGTATATCTATGTATGTTCATATCCCCAAGTGATTTGGACAACTATTTTAAATTTTTATAATGTGGGATTAAAAACGCCAAATTATCCTATTTTTTAATACTTGCGTTAGTAATTTAATCCCACTCGAGAGCTGTTCAACTGTCACTTAAGTTATTCCCCCACGTGACTACTGGTATCAATAAATTAATTATACTAATATTATAAATGCGAAAGTAACTCTGTCTGTCTGTCTGTCCCGCTTTAACTAAGAAACTACTGAGCTGATTTAAATGAAATTTGGTACACAGATATTTTAAAGCTTTCTCAGAAAGGACATAGGCTACTGTATAATGCCAAAAAAGGGTTGATAGGGGTTGAAAAGGGGATGAAAAGTTTGTATGGAAATTCGTGGTTTTTGAAGCTAGAAACATGAAACTTTCTTCTTTGGCTTTTTGGGAATAGGAGTGAGAGTGCGAGTGGAAGTGAGTGTAGGAATGAGAGTGGGAGTTAGAGTAAGAGTGACGTGAGGTGAGAGTGTTGCAGCAAAGTAGCACTTACAACATAGATTGGCTGCCTTAAATGCGCCCTTACATTAATTAATAAACAGCCAAAAAAAATAAAAATTCTACCCCAAGTCACTATTCCACGCGGATGAAGTCGCGGGCACAGCTAGTAAATTAATATTTGATGTATTCTTATTTTTATATGTCCTCTTTGTTTACAGACCTCCATGCCTCTTTCTCTCATATACCAGATCCTTACACACTAGAAATTCCCTAGAAATAATTTATATAGCAAAACAAAGTTTGCCAAAGTATAAAATTAAATTATATAAAAAGAGAGAGGGGGGAGTTCGACTGAATTGAGAGACCTGTATCATGCATATATGTAATGAAAAGATATTTAGTGCTATCTTTATCACGAGCTCACAACTATTGTCCAACAGGGTCGATTTACATAAAGCGAATTAGTCTTCGGTGTTCATTGTCTGTACAGAGGCGGTGGGTCGTGCGCGTCTAAACTTCTACGGGAGGAGACGAAAACTTCGAAACGAATCGAAACCTTCATGAATATTCAAATGTTTAATTAAAATATAAGCGATGCGTGCGAAGTTGCAGAGGAACTCCGGGCGTCGACACAGATTGCTGAATACCTTCACGTCGAAGGGAATGGAAATTGAGGTCGGTGCGAGGCTTAGAGGACGGACATATGTGCATTCTGAACGCCGCTGAAAGGTAACAATGCCGTATCGTAGTTTTAGAAAAGAAGAATAATAATTTGGTTTTTATTGTTTACTAGCTGTACCAGCGATTTCGTTCGCGTAGCATAGTTATTTTAGGCATCAAAACTCCTCATCTTAACAAATTATGGCTGACCCAAGACGTCGCGTCCCGTCTATCTTGTAAGTGAATTTTAAAACATATACTATTGCAGACATTTTTTAGATCATATAAAGAGAAATCATATGGTTTTGATCTCTTGAAACGTTTTCGCAGGCCACGTAGCGGACCCCTCAAAAATTAATAACTTTACCCGTTTTTTCAACATTTCCTACTGTCACACTCGGTCCTATTGGTCACAGCAGGCATCTTACCAACTAAAATAAAATAATTTAAACCAGTACTTCCTGAGATTAGCGCCTTTGTACAAACAAACAACTCTATGCTATTAGTAGAGATATTGTAGTTATTTAGTTTCATAGTCACTTCTGGTGCCTTACCACTACTTTTTAGGTGATACTGCGCAAGCTCAGTCTTTTCTCGTACGTAATTACCTACTCTGTTATTTTGTTTTATCTTTCATCGCACTCTGATATAATTAATGTATGTACGTTATGAAATAAATATGTTGAATTTAGAAGCACTAGAGATTTAGATGAACTTTGTGTCACCTTTGATGAGGTTTAACGCGAGCACGAGAGAGGCGGCGAAGGCGTGCCGACGCCACATGTCGCGCCGCCCCGCGCTGCCCCGCAACGCACCGCACCGCGACTCCAGTCTGAAACACGAACAAAACGCATATTTTTCGTTGTCCATAAAGTAATTAATTCAAAAATCGAACCTGATAACTCTCTTTTTTCAGGTTCTCATTGGGCTCGATTTAAATTAAAATATATTATAGATAAATATTTCTAATAAATGACATTGATATTCATTAATTCAAATTTGCCGCGCTTCGCATCTTGTCAAGCTGTGAGTGCAAAATGGCGGATAATGTAACGAACTAAAATATATTTTTGTAAAAGATTGTGTAATAAAAGAGATATGATTGGGGATCTAGTAATAATAAACAATGATAGAATGTTGTAAATTGTAAGCGCATGTTTAACAATATATTTTTCAGAGAAACAACATTTGTTTATTTTTGGAAAATCCTTAACCAATATATCTTATATGTTCATACGTTTTTACAGGCTCGTTGGATATTAAAAGTGTGTATCTGGAATATCGAAATCCCGTCCGGGTCACGAACCATCATACACACGTGAAAAAGCCGTGAACTTAGATCATCTTTCGGATCCAGTCTGTGAAATTTCATACTTTATTGAGTGAATGTTTTCTGTCTGTCTCTATAATAAACAATGCGTTGACAGTTTTTTTAACGTAAAAACGAACGTATATAAATAATATAAACATATTTGTTTAGGTTCGGTTCAGGTATATGTGAAGTAATATTGAAATGCAGTTATGATAGATTCAGAAAATATTATGTTTATGATTTAGTAAAAAAGGTATTTAAATACATAATATTATGTATATTTTGCTTGGAAAACATTGTAGTTGAAGAAACCGGGTCGCATACAATCTAAACGTTAATCTGTAATAACATTGAACTCGTTATTATTTACATTCACGTCGAGTCCAAAGTTCTGCATAAAGAAATAGATACGCATCGGCGCTATGTAAAACAGTCCTCGCTCACCTTCCAACTACTAATCTCGAATGGAAATGAGTCAGAAAACTTTGAGGTTTACATATTTATTGGCCTGACCCGCCGTTTCAATCGCCGTTGGACCGGAAGGGCCCGTCGTTACTTTACTTTGTATCGTCGGTACTTTCCGGTGTGCAATGTCAAAAATCCCCGAAGTTAAAAACGTTGGTAAGGAGAAACAGATGTTTGTAACGCAAACGAACACTCATAACTTATGTAAAGTACGTGTTAGTCGGACGATACATTACATTAACACGACCGCGTCCCACGAAATTGCTGTAATTACGTTAAACTGCGATACATCGCCGCGGTTCGTTATGGAATTAGTTCACTTATTATCGCAGGTTAACTATTTTTCCGCTTTGCGGTTAAGCCACGCTACTCGTGTTGTCAGTTTGAACTTATAAAGATAAGTTTAGTATGCACTCGGTACATTATTTTTAAGACAACTTTCTACATATTCAATCGATTTTTTCAATCTAATGCAGATTATTAATAAGTTAACATGTAGAAATAATAAAGGTTTTTACTAATTTAGCTTCCATCACTATGCTGAGCAACTTTTTTTAATCGTGTATGGAAACGTAAACGCTTAAATTGAAGCACAAAATAGGTCAATTACAGTGTAGTACAATGGAGCTGAATGGAGTTTTTACGTATAGGGAGTTTGGAGGAGGAGGAAAGATAAAAAGTAATAATTAATTAATTTGTGTATTATTTAAGTAAGTTACTTAAGTATTCACTGTGAATGAATAGTAGATATTAAAAACTAAATATTTTAAAATTATAATTACATCAGGTTAAATAAAATACTTTTAACGGTTTAAATCGCGTCATATTAGTGGACTTCTTTTTAATTTATTTCACTACGACCTGATGTTTCGGTAGTTAGTGTTTTATTTAAATATGTAATATTTTTTAAACTATAGACACTACTTAGATTACATTAGTGCGTATACTCTACTAGAGAAATAAGTCACATATATATTTATATAATAATATATTCAGTACAGTTTTCTATTCTACAATAGAAAGCCATTTTGCAGTTTCGTTATAATCCTTTTTACGTACTTCTAAACACCTGGAAAAACCTACGAATCTACATCAACTTTTTCAAGTCAAGCAAAGAAGCTGCGCGATAAGTGAACAAGAAAAACATTAAAGTATCAAAGTTTGATATAAAATATATTCAGTTGGGACGCGGACTATGCAAATTGTTAAAAAAGAGCAAAGAACACTCAAAGGAAATTAGACAGAATGAGCCCGAACAAATAAAGTCATTCTCCACACAAAAAAGTAAGAGCCAGCGGTCGCACTGGACTCATTAGTTGCACAAAGCGCTAAACGATGTTTGATAATGTTAGTGGCATGTGTTTCAAATGTACACGTCAACACGCGCGTTAATTTTCGTAGATGCAACGGTGCTACGGCGAAAATCCGTAGCGCACGCGTGACGTCATCGCCGTTATCGCTACGAGCGCGAGGCTGGATAATATTATTACAGCAATTAATAGAATCACCTAGAGGCGGGTATTTCAGTACATTTGTCTCGGAAAGTGCGCTGCGCATTATCATCGTCGCATACTTTTGTACAGTAATTAAAATTGTTAATTACGCCACGAATGTACCGCTATTTTCTCGTCGAACAAAGGCAATTTTTAACATGCCGCTGCCCGAAATTAATGAGTCGCTGCGAAATAATACACTTGTGATATTCCGGCTACGAACGCGATGCCGTGTATTCGCCGCGGACGAATAAATCAATAGGTGCTCAGAGGAGTGTCAGCGCTGATGTCGCGACAAGTCCGCCAAAGCAATAACAATGGGAATTACATCGCTAGCAATTACGCGCTCCGTCGCCTTCTTGTTTACGTCGCGCTGTGTCCACTGCTTCGTCCGCTGAACGCAACGGACATAGTGTCGTGACTTATTGGATTTGCCTAGAGGCATCTATAATTTGATTTTGGTGCGAAGAGCGAGTGAAACTTTAGAGGCACAGTTGGATACGTGCCGCTCTCACCGAATTATGTAAATCAAGTTAGAGTCCATACCTAACGCCATCTCCCCGCCGTTTCTAACGTATGTTATTTGTTGTTTTATTTAACTGTTACGAGAATTGCTAAATGCATGAGTACATCTCACACCAGCTAATAATATTAAATAATAAGCACGGTCGATTTGTGAGAGAGTTATTTTTATACTTAACCTGTATTCGGAACCGACGCTCCAATCAGTATCGCAGTAATCGCTGATATGCGAAGTATTATGCGAGTTATTTTTTCAGAAACAAATTCGAACTAATATGCGGAACATAGTAATACGCGAATGCACGATGTTGAACAAGTATAAAATTACAGTCGTCGACTCAGTATTATAGTTAAAAATATATCTGAGAATGAATCGCAAGCGTCCTTGGCCAACGCAACGGGTCCGATGCATCGTTGACGAGCCCCTATTGTGTTTCTCAGCCATTGTTTCAGCCTAATCCGCGGCCTACACTTCACAGCCCACGACCCGCATTCAACCGCGTCGTCGAATCGCGTAGAGGTCACTTAATGCTTTAGTGGGTCTAATTGTCAGCTATCGTGTTTCGAACATCGGAATAGGTCAGAGGGACACCGACAAGTAGCCGACCCCCCGAAGGGCCCTTCGCCCTCGGAGAGGCCCAGATGCGCCGGACACTGACGTGAGGACACTCGAGCCAATCAGTGGAGCGCTTCTTTCGTTTCGTTTGTAAATTCATTCGATCCGATCAGAAACGTGCTTAACGAGTTGTCCAGATTTACAAAATAATCTGCTCGACAGATTCCGACGGCGACTTGAGGAGGGTTCGCGAGACCGCGCGCCGACGTCGCTTGAAGTATTTTTGGATGGACATCGTTGTGTAATTGTTAAAACAACCCTGAAGGCCGATCGCTTCGAAGAAGGGGCACAATGGAAAATGAGCGAGATTTTTCTCACCGATCGGAGGTATTTAGCGGAGTGACAAAGGTGTCACAAACAATCGCGACACAATGGAGGATCGTCGGGAGGATTCAATCTACGTTAAATCACTTAGCATAATCTAATCAAAGATGCTTTTTATCCTAGAGGCAGATGATTTAGGCGATAGAGGCCGTTTCGCGTATACTATTTTCATCTATGACAACAATTGTTATTTGTTATTGTTGTAATGAATGCATAGAACTGTAATTTGATAATACTGGGATAATTATGATCCGGCGCGGCGTAGCCTCGCGTTGTGCAATCAACTAATTGATACAATAACTATTTATGAGACCTCTATTTGTGCATTGCTCTGTGGACCTCGATATTCTCGTCTATTCTACTTATCCGCCATTTATCTCTCGCTAATTAAACTGTAAATATGACTACACGACTGCACAATAACATGCTGTTTTTAGACAAAGTTCGACATGTTTCAGAAAATTTACGATTGATTAGAAACATGCTAAGTCCGATGGGTGTTGAACCTAAAAGCCTTCCTCGATAAATGCTCTAACGACACAAAAATATTTTTTCAATTCGAACCAGTAGTTTCCGAGATTAGCGCGTTCAAACAAATGAAACTCTTCAGCTTTATATATTAGTATAGATAAGGATGACGTAGATTCAAGACATGTATATAGTATTTAGTCCTTGTTTAAGTTCAGTTATACAAAATAAGTTAATAGATTATTATTGTTGTGTTTCTACGAATAATCGTAGCGATAATGAATTCGCATTGAAATAAAATTTTGGAGCGAACAAAAATAATTATCAGAACGAATGATTAATGCGAGACTTCCCCGGGGCAGAAACACTCAGTAAATAACAATAGAGACTACTCACGCGCGTGACTTTGCTTGTTTCGACAAAGGTACAAAAGAGTTAGGCTTCGTAATTTGAATGTTACATGACAGTCGTTTTAGTATTGTTGAATATGTTATTATGGTCGAAATGAGTTCTTCGAACAACAAAAGTTTTAGGTACAGCTGCGTTTATGCTGCGACCGCCTCTGTAGCCAAATGGTTAAACGTATTGCAATAAGCGCGAGAGGTCCCGGGTTCGAATCGCAGGGAAACAAAAAAAATGTTTCGGTGGGACAGGGCACGGTAGTTTAATCAACCGCTTGCCTGTTAAAGAACGGATCAGTGAAATAGACACAGAAATGTGTTCGTCCCATGCACCATGAGGGGGAAACGGGATTTACCACGCGTTAATCAGCAGCATTATCATTTAGCCTAAATGTAAAATAAAAAAATCATTTTTTTATCATACAGGAGGATGATGCTTGTCTGTCCTTCTCTATCATAAAAATACCTTAGACATATGACATCTAAACAAGATCCGCTGTTGACTGATTTTCGCTATAAATATTCGAAAATTCACAAACTGAAACCGAATCGCGATTAGGCTTCACGGCTTTTTGTGGTGATTCGTGACCCGGACGGAATTTCGATGTTGGGCCAGCTGAGGATCAAACCTACGACCAGTTGATTACTAGCCATACATTGCAACCATTATACTTAGGAGCCCGTGAAGATAAAACACTCTGGACGGTTTAAAATGCGAAATTAATTAGTGAAACTTATTTACAAATTATTTAAACTACGGCCCGATATTTCGGATGCTTTGCAGCAGCCGTGGTCACCGGGAGACAACGGGTTCGGTTGCCAATAACTTAACAATATATTTCGCGTTTTATACCGTTAAATGTGTTTTATAAAATAACATGCAGAAATCTTAAACGTCAACTTCGCCCGTTCGTTCAACCACAATAAATCCCGCAATCCTTTGATTAGGCCCATAAAATGTTCCGTCATATACCTTGGCATAATTATTATTTATTTAGTTAGCGAAGCACGACTACTGGCATTCTAGCGGGGCGATGGTCGGTCACGCGACTGCCCGATATTAATGGCTCGTTGTAACGAGCTCGCCCACTCTATTAACATATCTACTAGCCGTCGTCTTAATTGTCGCTGCCTTGCGATACTAAAAAGAGTCAACTTTCACGTGAAATAGATTAGTTGTACACATAAAGCGAACACTCGACGCGGTCCTCAGGGAGGCGTCGTTACTCATATACATGTCAAAGCGGGAGGAGGAAGGGCGGTAGGGGCGAAAGCGATTTAAAGCTCGCGCCATCCGGGACCGTCCCCAGGGACGGCTAAACATGTCAGCGCCGGCCTGACTTATTTATCGACCTTATTATTTAATCCGAACTCACAACGCGGCGATTACACGACGTTTTTCTAAACAGAATAAAGAGATAAGTATATGTGAAATGCATATTCGACGTTGAAAGTAAAGTAAGAAATTATGTTTGTTTGCCGCGTAAGTGGCGGCCGACGCGACGGCTGACGAGCGAAAATAAACAGTTTAATTTTAAATCACCGCTCTTTTACGAACGTCGTCGTCAGTTTAGCCTTTGTATTAAAGAGGAGAAATATCTTTTAAGTAAATAGCTAATACAGGCATAAATTCATCTTCGATTTTGGTTTAAGAGTTAGTAGCTCGACGGATATAACTAATCGAAGTTGGTGCTTAGTCAAAGCCGAACACTCGGCAGCGACAAGGAACAACAAACTCCCCCCTTTACTCCTACTAAATATTGTTGAATTTCTATCAAAACTTTGTTATTATCTTCACTGCAATATAATCACTAAACACTACTTATATTAAGTACTTACTTTTTACAATAGTAAAGAAATGTCTATTTATATTATTACTGCGGGGGAAAACATTTGCGTAAAACTAAAAACTTATTGAATGAAATAGAGGGGTGTGCTGATGAGAAGTGATATTGATGCAAAGGCTGACCGATGCCTGTATATTATAAAAGTAAAACCGAGATCGAGAAAGCTAGTATAGAGAACTACATTTATAATACGATGTACGGTTATGAGAAATATAAAGTATTTTCTGTGTGGTTACATCTCGCTGGCTAAAGAGGGCTGTGAGTGGCCTCCACCCTCGTTGAAACATGACAACACTACACAGACCGTATTTATTCTCATTTCAACGTTTATATTAATTTTATGTTATTGTATGCGAGATTATTAAAAGTTGTAGATGTGAATGATCCTAACTGCTTTTAAAATTACATGAAAAAAGCCTATCGAATGAATTCTTGCAGTCAATTTCTATAGACCACATTTTAAAATAAAACACTTTAACGGTATAAAACTCAATATATATTAGTTAAACATAGTATTTACGTTTGCTATAACAGCAGACGTAGTCGCGGGGAGACCGATTTTATTTAAATGTGTACTACTCGCGTACAGACAGACTACATTTATTTTTTGAGAAATAATTTAGTTGTTGATTGTTTAAATCGAATAATAAAAGAAGTGATCAAAATAATGGCTTAGAAATAGAAAGCTTCGCCCAAAATAGAACGACAAGCGATTCGAATTTTTAAGCAGCATTTAGCACATGTCAAGTACGTGCTTCGTATATGAATATAAATAACCGAATTGAACCGGCTCCAACGAGCTCCCGATCAACATAAATTACAAAGTTTAATCCATAACGGGGCCTAAGAGCTATGCGGGCACTTTTTGCCCCCATTTGACATCACCGAGTGATTTTATATGAATAAATCATCATGAAATAAGAAAATGAGGTCAAATTGATGAAACCGCGCGAAGCTCTTAATTCAACTCAAAGGTCATTCGTCGGAATAGGAGGTAGGCTCATTAAAATAAAAATTCTAATGTCGGTAGTTCTATAGTTTGCCCTGTTTGACAGACGAAGCGTGCGCGTGGCATTCATATTGAGACACGCCTCAGCGGTGTTAGATTATGTGGTCCCCACTATAAAAATATGAACACATAGAATGGATAAAGCATTTAGAAGCTGTAAATAAGTTTAGTCAAAGAATGTGAATTGAACAATTCTCGTGAAACTATATAGACCTGAGTTGGAGTAAATTCTAAATCAACACGTTATTTTTAATGTGTGAAATACATTTTTTTTTAATTAAGTATTCCGCTTGCCTTAGCTTGGTATCTGAGAAGACCGCTGAATTTTAAGTAATGGAACATTAATTCCCTGGTTTGAGTCTGGTCTATGTAGCCGAAATGTTTCGATCGAAATTAGTTGTAATTTTTATAAAAAGTTTCGAAAATTTTATGATAAAGAACTGTAATATAATACTTAATAGCTTTGAATTTTATTGTATAATCTATGTATTTACTGTATTGATTCTAAATAAAAATCTATATTAAAAACCTAAAGCCATATAAAAATTAAAAACATTTGACGAGCAAATAAAATTATTAAAAAAACGTCCACACTAACAAGACTAGTTATATTCCCATCGATATCTATATATCGCTATTGCTTTATTATTCAATCGTAAAAGAGTAAAAACGTTTTCTTAATTCAAAACGCGTCGTAAAGTCTCGACGCCGATATTGAACAAATCCAAAGTACACAATAATAAATAAGATACACGCTTATAAGCGCAGAGTTTTACCACATCGAACTCGACTTTGAGGGCTTTGGGTATGTCGAAACGATTGCTGTTCGAGTCGTTCGCTCAATGAAAACATAAATTATCTCTGAGCCGTTAAAGGGGAGGGGAATGAATAAATAATTGATTCGTGTTTTGCAGCTTTTGCCGCACACCGATCTATACGCGGCGCCGTTTTCTCTTAAATATTTCAGACAATTGAACAAGTTTTGTGCATTTTAAACAGAGCTATGTTGATTTAAAGTGGAATCGTATATCTGTAAGGTTCTGGAATGATTATTATTTGCACTATTCTGAAAAGCATTAGAGAAAACATCATTCCGAGCATCTCCATATCCGCAAGTCATTAAATAAATATGTAATGGATGTTATGAGCGGGATGACGTCATCATCCGCTGCGCCTCGCTACACTGCGCTAGAGCACTTAGAAATTTGAATATTGGCACGCGATCTCAATAATTTTGCCAAGATACGAAAACTCCAACCGGAAAGCTAGACAGCATACATTTACTTCTGATGATGTACACTGAAGTAGTGGTTTTATTACTCCATATTTGAGCTATTAAATAACGATTAGGAAGGCCTTCACTGCGTCGCATCTTTTGTTGTGGAAATGTAATAAACGTACTAGTCGTCCTTAATACGAGAGTCATAAGCTACGAGACTTGTAGCACGTAGCGTGACGTAGCACGTAGCACCTCGTAGCGATCGAGCAGCCGATGCTTTCATATTGTTCTATTTAGTGCGTGACTGCAGTATCTCTTGAAATATTGAAAATATTACTAACGCTTAGCATTTTAAAGTAATACTAGGAATAGCGTAAATGAAAACGACGAACAGTATTATCTCAGTGAACAATGATCCTGCCACTAAGTGGAGTGTTAGTCGAGCGATGTACGTACATACAGTGCTACACTCTTGTACTGAACGAGTGGTCGTCGAGAGTGGTGCGACGTGCCTCACGACTAGTCGCCTACATTACGCTGACACCACGTAATTATTGTACTCGCTTTTACGCTGACTTCGGTAGCGTATGGAAAGCAAAATAGTCTTATGAAATACAACATTTTCGTTTGCATCTTTAGTTACGGTTATTATTCTTTTGTATTTAAAAAAAAAGTTTTGTTTATAGGAATATTAAAGAACAGATTTATTAAGATTACTAAGAAATTAATAATTGCAATTAAGATAACTGTAATGACTTTTGTACTGAAATTCATGTCTTGAATTCTCGAGAAAAAAAATCGATCGTAAATGATATATCCATGTTTTTATGTTCTGATAAGTTCTAAGATATTAGAAGACGCTTGCTTTTCAATAGAAACTTGGGAAGCTCAATACCAAATTACATTCTTGCTAAATCCCGACAACTATCGGAAATTTGAATTGCTTTGAAAGCTAAATTCAAAAGCGCCTTAAACAATTTAAAATTATCTAAAAACTCTTCGGCGTTATCACAAAACTATTATTAGGGTTTTAAAATTAAATTAACATACAAAAGTACTTAATAATAATAGAATTGAAAGCAAAATACTGTCTGTCCAAATTTTAATAAAACGCTTTAACAGTTTAAAACGCGATATATATTAGTTAAACTTATTCAAAAATTATTTTAACTACGGGTCGACGTTTTGGATGCTTTGCAGTAGCAGTGGTCACGGGTTAAAATGTTTTATTTTAAAGATAAATAATAAACCATAATGAAGTCGTACATTCAAGTTAATTAATCATCGATGAAGCTAAAATCTAAATGAAATGCTTCATCTAATTAAGAAGACAAACATTATGCGAAATAAGCAATTAGCAAAATAAACAGCTCACGCCCTTCTCCGCAGCCTGATACATTACTGGGAACATTCTATGGAGGGACACAGATGTACAACTTTAAAGTCAACTAAGAAGGGAGTTTCTCGGAACGAGTTAAAATATTTTCCTCGATTCGGGAGTACTCTTTGTCGCACTTTTGTTATTGCTTTTTAAAAGGAAGTCACGAGCGCATGGTATTTGCATTTTAACCTGAAGGATGATAAGCTAATATAAAAATCTACAGAGTTTGTTTATTTGTTCGAACGCGCTAATCTATATAACTACTACTTCGCTATAAAACATCGCGATGTAACTTATAAGAGCGAAGAAACAATAATAATAAGTCAAAAAACGAGAGAAATTATTCTTCCCTGTGGCTTTCCATTGCGCACGCTACCAAAACTGTTCAAGATACCCAAAAATATGTATTAAAGAATGGTTACTCTTCAAATGATCATAATGATATAAATCTATCTTTTAAGATTAACTTGCAAGAACGACGGGACGCGGCCGACGTCGTGGAGGACGTTTGCAAAAACAAATTTTGAATTGTGTTAGAATAAAAAGCGACATTTTGATCGTCTTTTGTTTTGATAATGTCTTTTTACAATCCATTCCAACAATGAGATCTATGCACCGCTTACTGCCATTGCAGTGAATGTCAACGTATGGATACAGACCATTCACAGCTGACTAATTACTTTGCCTACTGTTCGCTCGATCGGCTTATATCTGTTAATAGGATTATGTCATTAGAAATTATCTTCGCAGTGCGCTAATATTGCTATCTACAAATAGATTTCAAAACGTGTTAGGCGGTCAGTTAGGTTTTGGAAGTACTGTCTTTACATTTCTGTACTTTTTTTCTTTTAGAAAGTTTAAAAATATACGTTCAATGATTATTTAACAATGATTATTATAGTAAGTAACGGTATAAAGTATTACCATAAGAGTATGTACTGCTTCGCGATTTCTTTACAATTGCGCCTGTATTACATATATGTCTTTAAAAAGTAAGTATTGGCATTTTTTAAGAGTTTTCGGTTTTTGAAAGAGTAAATATTTAGCAATTTTTAATAATGGAAATAATAGAATGTAAATACTGTCTATAGTTTACGCGAGTAGTACACATAGTGAAGGGCCCACTCACTACATTCGCTTTGACCAGCCAAAAATCCTCGCAAAGGAGAGTCGATTTTTTTTTCCAAGATTGGTACGCGAAGCAATTGAAATCAAAAAAAACGAAATTTCAGTAGGGAGGACGGCCTCAAATTATCAAACACCTGGGACCCCATTTTAAAAACTCTGGATCCCAATAAACAGCATACCGGCAAACGCGAAGACACCGTTAGTAAATTCTGCAAGGACCCGGCCAGTTTCGCCAAATACCAACTTCGACGGAACAGATGGCGCTAGGGTAGCGATTTTTTACTTTGACGTCAGAGACATCCTCCATCTTTAGTCTCCCCGTGACCACGGCTGCTGCAAACCATCCGAAACGTCGGGCCGAAGTTAAAAATAATTTTCAAATAAGTTTAACTAATATATCGCGTTTAAACCGTTAAAGTGTTTTATTTAAATAATAGAATGTAATTAATATCTCCTACACTATATATTGGGCTCATACCATAGCAATCAATCAGAATCCGTGGCCGTTTGCAAGCCGTCAACCGTTCTAATAATTCGTAAACATTCGCTCTATTTGCTCAGTCGAGGTGCCTTACGCATTCCCGCACTTTATAATACAATTAGTCGTTTCCTCGTGCGTGTCTCGTATCTGCGATTAGCCTCTTTGTACTTCAACTATTTACGGGCTCACAGGACTTCGGATCGAAGAGGGTGTCCCTTCAAATATTCCTCAAAATATTTTCCATTATGTTCTGAAGATTATCCTCGTGTTTGCCGGGTTTAATTTGTATGAACATGTGTGTGTTCAATATAAAATATATTGCATTTAATGATATTATTTGAGATGAAGTGTTTCACTTATACCAGAAGAAGAAGAAAGAAATTTATCATCGGGTATATCCTTACTGCTGCTTAATGTATCCGACGTTATTCGTTTTAAATTTTTTTATTTGGTTGGATACGGTAAGCTCGAGGTGTAGAAGTACCTAGCATTTGCAACGTATGTGTTCAAGGTGCTGAGTGGCACCACATCTGTCCCAATGGTGCTGGAGTCCATCAGGTTTTATGTCCCAGATGCGTACGTACGACGAAAGTAAACGATCACACTTTGCCATCAGCCCCACGAGAACAAACTTAATGTACTATTCTCCAATTATGCGAGCACTTCACATTCTTAACAGTGTAATTGTAAGGCATTTTTAAATGCACGGCGAGTGATATCATAAAGATGTATGATATCTCAAATGATCCACCCCACTAATGGTAACCCACTCTCATGTTAGAATTAGTATTCTGTAAGGATGTGTGTTTGGTTTTAATAAATAAATATTAATACGAATTGATGTCATGCCTTGAGTTAAAACATTTATTTTGTGAATAACATAGTCACGAAATAGAACTGCGACGGTAAATGTTAACGCTAAGCTGGATTCAAGCAAGAAGGCTTCAACTTAAAATTCTCTTGCATTAAGTTCGTACGTTGAGGGACGATGTAAGTGAAACGTCGCTATCAGCCGTCAACCGTCACACGAAGAAAAATGTGCATGTCATGCTAATGCAGCTCTATTCCGGACGAAGCTAGAAGCAGCTTGGCACTGAAAAGGTTAACTGCAACACGTGACTTTGGTTTATTTTCCCTAACACGTGTTTAATATTTCAAGTGAGTTCTACAAAATAAAAATACATAGAAAATAAATAAAACACTTTAACGGTTTACAACGCGATATAAATTTAGTTAAAGTTATTAGAAAATTATTTTAACTACTGATCGTAGTCACGGGGAGACACATAAATATTATTTTCACTGTTTACGGTTAGTATTAACAGGTATATAGACAGGTACAGTAATTATATTTTAAAAATCTGACTTTTTTTGCATAGAGGAGGACGGACAAGCAGGGATTCACTTGATGTTTGGTGGAATACCCCAGCCATATTATAAAAACTGAATTAAGATGCGTTGCCGTCCTATTTCGGATGATCTGATATGTTAGTCCAGTAAAGCTAGTCGTAGTAAAATCGTGCATTGTCCGCTCGGGAAATGAAAACGTTTCATTCATTATCAACGAAAACTTCGCAACGCAATTCGAATACTAACGAAAAGACAATTGTGGCCTAGAGCATATCCGGAAACTCGGGTAAGGGATGTCACGTAAATATACGAAACCTAAAATGGTGCTGGACGGAACACATGAGGCTCTAGAACGAAGCCAATGGACAAGGTCTGTCTCAGAATAGTTCCCACGTGACGGCGAAGAAGGAGAACTTCCATAAGTAACTCGGGATAGGATGACTAGAGTTCAATGGAGCAGATCTAATTTTATATAGACTTAAAAAAAGTGATACATAATAATAAAAGCTTTTTTTAAATGTCTTTCACTGAATTCTTGCTTTATCTATGTATACTTAATATATAAAGCTGAAGAGTTTGTTTGTTTGAAAGCGCTAACCTCAGGAACTACGGGTTCTAATTGAAAAATTATTTTTGTATTCATTTGAGCATTTATCAAGAAAGTATTAGACTGGTAATTTCATAGGTTTTATTTTTATAACATCAATACTTTTTTCTGAGCGAATACAGCTTCATACTAGCAGATCGAAAAGTGAAACGAAAACAACTAAAGTAAAGCTCTCTAATAATTAAGTGTTTGTTTGAGCTCAACTCATAAAGCCACCGTAAACACTAAATCCGCAACCCCGCAGCTTAGTTGAATACACAATAAAAATTAATAGACATTTATCGAATAGAATAATAGATCTCGCCTAAAGCCGAATCGAAGCCACCGCAACTATCA